TAAAGCAATATTTATAAAAGAATATAGATAATCATAAGGCTTAAATGAAAATCTTTTTGGTTGTTTTTATACAATTTTTGATTTTTATGTTTTTTTTTTATTATTTTTTTTATATAAAATGATAAAAAGAAAAACACACAAACATACAAGAAAGAGAATTTAAAAAAAACGAAAATATTTTTCTTTGCAAAGACTGCCGCAATATGCAAAGTGTTCCTCAACCCACAAAGGTACTAAATATTTTTGCAAAGACTGTCGCAATCTGCACGTGTTCCTCAACCCACAAAGGTAGCTACGCGGGACTTAGGGTCACATGGCACTCCCTGGCCTCAACCTGCCCTACTACTGGCTGGGTATCCTAGCGAACACAAACCAGTTCAATTGCAAAAATATCCAGATACTGGCTGGGTATCCCAGAAAACACAAACCAGTTCAATTGCAAAAAATCATATTCAAGGTAACCAAGGAAAGTCCTTGCTCTGATACCAAGAGTTTGGCGCCAAGCGCTAGCCACTTTGCTAAAAGCTTAAGCTAGTAGTAAGGGTTCACACTTTAGCACTTAGCCCCTGGTCCCACCACGCTTCCGCGACTCTGATTCCCCCGCTCTTCGGGAATCTCGAGGGGACTTACCACACGCTGCCCCAATTTCGTCCTCGGCAGGAATCGAGAACGCGGCCTCGCTCTGATACCAAGAGTTTGGTAGTAGAACACAGAGAACTACAGGATTGGTTCTCAAAAACCTTAGCAAACCTAGACCTAGAACAAGATAGGTCAGAGGAAAATAGGAATAGTATTTTTACTATCCCTAAAAACGAAAACAGTCCTATGATAGGATATGAAAAAGAAACAATAGATAATGTATCTTTTGATGACATTATAAATGAATTTTTAGATGAATTTTATCCAGATGAAGAGGATAATTTATCTAAAATCTCAGAACCCTTAGAAACCCTAGGGTCTGAAAACATGAGTGTAGAATTAGATGATTCTCAATCTCAGATAGAATCTGATGACGATTCTATAAAATCTTTACAAAATATTGGTTTGGATGATGTGACCATGAAGATATGTACGTTGTCTTAAAAAAAAAAGATTAAATTTCAATGAGAAATCAGTTTTAATTTTTTCAATTTTACATAAATATTCTCTTTATTTTTAAAAACATTATATTGTGATCCATTTTACCTCATACACGTACCTTTCAGTTTTAAAAAAGTTACATTTTTATGTTATATACATATATTTTTAAAACTTTAAAAACATTATATTTAAAAAAACAAATCAAAGTAATATTTTTAACATAAAAAGCCTGAGATTTTTCACCTTCAAATAAATTTTGAACTCGTAATAAATTCTTTAACGGAAAATTAAAGATGTGAATATTTATTTAAACTGTGTAATTGTATTTGAAGTTAATTCTCAGCAATTCAATGTGAAACAAATACAGACTAACATAATTTTGGTTATGTTAAACTATGAGTAAGTGACAGTTATTTATGCCCCAAAGAGTAATGGTAAAATGACGTGTAACAGTCGTTGTTTCTTGCTATTCATCTACTTCAATCATATAATGAACTCTGAGAATATCCACGACATGGTTCGTTGAAGCTTGACTCTTTTCTTTCTTTGTCTGAAATCATTGCATCTATTAATGGAGTTTGTAGTAATATAAATATGGTGGAACACCATATGGAACAACTGTGGTTCATCATTGTTCGGTTAATCTATTTGTGCTTCCGTTAAATTTTATTGCAAGTTTAAGTAAAATAATTAATGTCTTTACATTTTTAAGTTTTTGAAATCGTACTTAACTACTAACTAGTTATGAGGATCTATTTAAGTAACTAACCTTTTCCCCTTGTATAAATTTCTAGTCATTGATAAAGAAGACTTGAGTTTGGTTATATACCGTTAATGCAATTTTACAGTGAAACACTGATCAGACATGCATAACACTGTTTAGAGAGAGAGAATGTGTAGAATACATAGATAATTAAATACTAATTGAGTATAAATGAAAGAACAAGAGGATCACCAAACCTCAATTAAAGTACCTTTAAAGTCAACTTTTATTTACTCAAAACTATTTGTGTGTGTGTGTGTGTGTTTTCTCTGATTGTATGTATTAAAAGTTACTTGAGTACAACTTTCCTTAAGATGAAATAAAAAGCCACCAAAAAAATGGAAGTTAATAATACCACCATGAACATAGTACGATTTACTCTTTTTAGTTTTTACTTACCCAAGAAACTTAGTACTATTAAATTGGTAGAAAGAGATAATTAAGAAACACGAAATAATTAATTGTTAGCTACCTTTATAAACAAAACTTTGGGCAATAAGGAAAGAGAACTTGAAGCATTGATTTATGATATCACTCTAAGAGGGGAACGTCTAAGCTACTTATTTAGAGATATACCCACCAATTATTAAGTGTTGATATAACTAATTGTGGCCTAATATCATAATTAACATCTCTCTCTCTCTCTCTCTCTCTCTCTCTCTATATATATATATATATATATATATATATATATATATATATATATATATATATATATATGCTCAAAATCAGTACACCTTTTTGTCTTAATTCAGCATAGTTCTGATAATGTTATAATTTGAAAATGTAAATAGTTGAATTATATCTTTTTTAGGCTAAGATGGAAAGTGTTACAAAAAGTTTAGGATGAACACCTTTTGGTTTATTGAAATAGTTTGAAATTTAGACTTAGATTTTGTAAAAATTTAAGTTGTCTCTATTTTTATCAGAAGTCGTTTAGTTTAATACAAATATAAAACTATCACTTATATATATATATATATATATATATATATATATATATATATATATATCAATAATAAGTTGATAAAACTATTAAAAATAACTAAAATTTTAAATAAACATAAAGGTGATTTTAGATGTCGTACATGATAAAAAAAGTTCACATTAAATTTAACAAATCATACATAAATATCGTATATATAAGTCATATTTATTTTTAAAATTATACATAAAAAAATAGAGAAATAAGATTAAAAACTGATGTTGTCTATATTTTATTCTTATTTAAGTTTGGCGGATTGTTAACTGATTTTCTACTCTAACCAAATAATCTGGCGTTTGAAAAAAATACAGAGAGAATGAAAAATAGTTTGACACATCCATCAAAATCAAAATTAAAAAGAAATTCAAAAAGGAAAGATAAAAAAACGTAAAAAATAAAATAATGAATGTAGTGCTAAAAAAATAAAGATAAAAGATAATATTGGAAAAACGTATGCTTTGTAAATTAGAAGATAAAAAAATGCACTGAATGAAAAAAAAGTAGTATTGTGTAAATATTGAGAAGGTAAATGAAAATAGTGAAAAATATAGTAGAGTTAGAAATAAATAAATAAAATATATGAAAAATATAATAAAAATAACTAGTGCAACCTAAATCTCTTTATTTCTCCTTTTTATAACTTCTCTTATACTAAATACACTCACTTTTTTCTTTACCTAATTTAAATGTTAAATATATAATACTTATACACTTTAAAATATTTATATCATAGTTTTCATTTATTAAAAAAATAATCATGTAGTGGGTCAACTACTAGTGAAAGTTATATAAGGGAGTGGAATAACACATGTCCAGCATGTACATGAGAGCGTGTATGCATTTGTAGCTACCAGACTTTGTTACATTATTCTTCGTAATTGTAGGTGGCATAGTTTTAGTTGCAAATTTCAAGGAAGAGGATTCAGATAATAATAATAATCATCGTTTAGGTTCGTTATCGTTGAAACGCATTTTCAATCTGGTGCATAACATCACCCTCTCACCCCTCACTCACGCACTTCATTTCTCACTCAAACAAAAACAAAATGCAGAGAACCAAGCTGCTAAGAAACCCTCACACCTCCACCTCCGATCTCCTAACATGGTCCGAGCAACCTCCGCCGCAATCCGCCTCCGGCCACCGCTCTCGCCAGGTCACTACTTTTGTTTACTAACTTTTTTTTTTTAAATTGTTTGAGGACTGCTTTGGTTTGTTCCATTCAGTCTCTCTTGAATATATATATATATATATATATATATATATATATATATATATATATATATATATATATATATATATAATGAGTGTTTGATTGTTTGCTCTTGAATTTGCTAATCGTATTCTCAGCCTTCCGATAAAATCGGTGAAGTTCTCCGCGGAAGCCAGCTAACGGAGGAAGAAGCACAGAGTCTAGCCAGAAGGTAATACTATCATGTTTTTTGTTTTCAATTCTATTGCAATGTTGGTAATTGTACACTCAGATCTGCTATTTTTGTTCTTGTGTTTTTTAATTAAAAGTTATTTTTAATCGGTTAGTTCTGTGATCCGATTCGGTGTTTTATTAGGTTGCTTGAGCTTTTTGCGGTAACGATCCTCTTTGTGATCATGGAAACAGTATGCGGTGTTTCAATTACTAGTCGTTTGTATTTTGTAAAAATATTGTATTGAAAAGCCAATCCACAATCCAAAATAACACTGCTTAATACTATATAATATCATTTAGATCGTCTAGTAGTTGTTTAGGTACCTTATTGTTTCCCCCTCTATTTTATGCTTTTAGTTTATTACCTATTATTCGAGGAGAGAGGAAGGAATGGAGGAAAAAAGAGAGAGGAATAGGTTTTAAATAATTGAAAAGAGAGAAAATATGAATGAAAAACTCAGAAATAAAATAGTAGAAAATTTCATCAAAAATAAATCCTAGAAAGTTTGATTGAACCGGAGTATGATGTTTATGTTACGTATACTGCATATGTTATAAATATATTTTATTACGTTGATATTTGAATATTCATTTTTAAATACATAATGGTTTATAGAATTATTTTTATCTCTATTTCTATTACCTTTCCTTTTTTTCTGTTCAAATGACTTATATTTTATTTACTTTTTTGTTTTTTTTTTCTCTTTCACCCTATTTTTTCATTTCTATCAAATGGAGGCACAATGAGAACGTCTCGAGAAGCCGATCATTGGTCTCCTGCATTCCATTGTTTCGAAATTCTTAGAATTCTGTAATGATGAGCAATCAACACGAAAATATATTGTATGCTTAAGTATTATTGGTTAGTTGATTAAAGGAACTTTTATTAATATTAGAATAATTCTAAATTCTTAAAAAAATTGTTTATATATTATCTGTGGAGTCATACTTCACCCAGATTATTAAATGTTTATTAAATATATGTAGTCTTCTTGATTTTATAAAATAAACATATTTTCTAAATTATTTTCCGTCATATTTATTGAGATTAGTATCAGCGGAAAAATATTTTTAAAATAATGACATTAGTTAAGATTAAGGTATTTAAAATTTATTTATATTTGTCAGTATATATATATATATATATATATATATATATATATATATATATATATGTATGAGTGAAGAAAAATTATTTTGTATGAATTCAAAACATTAAATGCTATTTTCTTAGGAGATTTTCAGAAAGATTTTAGCATTGTTATTATTCTGAGCCTATCTTTTTGCAAAAAACTATTTTAACACTATTATTCATACAAACAACTGCATTTTATATTATAATAATAATAATAATTTTAATTTTTATTAGAGTGATGATCTTTTGACAACCGAAAGAAAAAACAACCCAAAAAACAACCCATTTTATTAATATAATAATCATGAAAGAGTTTAAATAAAAATAAAAAATAATTAAAATTATTATTATAATATAAAATGCAGTTATTTATAGGGTTGTTTATGTGAATAGTGGTGTCAAAATATCTTTTTCCTTTTTATTAAACCTTTTAATGATTATTATTAAACCACCTATCAACAACTGAATTTTATATAATAATAATAATAATTTTGACTTTTTTATTTTTATTAAACCTTTTAATAAATAAAAGTGGATTATAAGAGGTTATTTGTTGTCAAAATATCACCCCTCATCTTTGTTACATGATTGGGTGCCCTGACTATTATTTTTAATATTAGAATTTAATTAGAATGCAATAAGAGTATAAGAAATTGGCATTTTACATTATAAGAAATTGGCATTTTACATTGTCAAATATAAAAAATATTATTTTAGATTTAACTTTTATAATAATAATTATTAAAATTAATAAACTTGTCAAACATAACTATTTGCAAAAGAATTATAATGTAAAATTATATTATGAATATATTTTAATAAAATTCTTTATTTAAAAGTCATTTCTTATTTAGTGTGACTTGTAATTGATTAATAGTAACAATCTTTAACTTGATAGTATGTCAAAATTAAACGAGAAATAACGAAATTAAACTGCTGAATGTTATTAGTTAAGTTCAAAGTTTCATGTTAAATAATCTTCTTGTCAAATATATGTTTCCATGTGTATGCTTTTAAAGGGTTAGTTGTTAATCTGTATACGATTTGTTATTAGCTAATAGCTGCAATGGATAGTTGTTTCTTTCCATTAGTTGATTGGTTTATTATTTTGCTCTGTTGTGACTGTGGCTACTTTCAACAGCCTTATTTTTCTTCGTATAGCTTTCTGGCAGTTGTTATAAATAGGCTTCCAACCCAAGAATGAAGTCAAGTTCCATCTCGTCCATCTATCATTTTTATTTTTCTCTCTTCTAACATGGTATCAGAGTGATGCTATTCCATGTCCTTCTTGATACTCAGGAAACCATGCTCTGGATATAAGATGCAAGAGATGACTGGAAGTGGTATATTTTCTGGTAATGCTGAAGATACCACCACATCAGAAACCAAGTTTGCTAATTCAAAACACAGAACAAGCATACGGGTATATCAGGTATGCTGTGGTTACCTTGTTCGGAGGCTATTTGAGATTTTTGACGTTATATGAATATGTGTGTTGTTAAAATACGAACTCCATCGTGCTAGCAGTATTCTTGTTTTATTTCCCTGCAATTTCATTTCAGCAAGCAATGAATAGAATCAGTCATATATCATTCAGCCCCGAAGGAAACGTTTCCCCTAAGATACCAACCTCTCTACCCGAGATAGCAAAGCAGCGTGAACTTAGTGGAACATATCAAAGTGAATCAGACACGAAGATCAAGAAGAACGTATCAAGTGCCAAGACCAAGGAGCTCAGCGGAAGTGATATATTTGCCCCTCCTGAAATTGTGCCTCGTTCGTCGGGTGCTGAACGAACTTTGGAATCAAAAGAAAGTAAAGATACGAGAGAACCTGTTCCACGAAAAGTGCGCGCATCGGCGCTAGTTTCTAATGTAAGTGTCTTCTGGGCATGAAGACCAATCACGTGTCATCTTTACCTAACTATAATTTATACTGGATGAATGTCTGAAGAAACTTTTGTTATTTCTAATCCCGTCTTAAGACATATGTCTTACCTCTGATGGCTATTCGTTACGGTGAATTTTTACCTCTGATGGTGCAAATAAGTCATGTTATGGCTTTCCTGAAAAGCAAAATTCAATGCAGATCAATTTGCTTAATTTATAAAGATATAACCCAAGGATTGTAGTAGCACGGTTGCAACTGTAGATGAATACCATTTATTTGGGGATAGTAAATTTTATAACGTGCGTCACCAAAACACTTGGCTGATATTTTGAGTTAGAGCCAAACTGCATGCATTATGTTGAAGAGGTCCATTAGTTTGTCTGCATGTTCTTAAAGTTTCGGCATTAGGTTTTTTCTTCGTCTTAGATTTCATTTTTTGGAATTTTTGTTGATGCAATATTGTTTCTCTCAGTTATATTATATTTTAACTGTCTTTATTTTTCTTAAATAAGATGGATGTATATTTTTCCGTGTCTTCCCCCATTTAGCTTATTATTGTTGTAGGCTGGAGGTGGGCAAAGAGATTTGTTATTCCGTGAAGAGCCAGTTAAAAAGACATTAAGGAAAATACATGAGCAGAAATTTGCAGACCTGACGGGCAAAAATATTTTCAAGAGAGACGTTCCCGCAGGATCCCAAGGAAAGCCTTCGAGCAGAGCTAAACTTAGAGAAATGGCTGGAAATGACATTTTTGCTGATGGGAAAGCAGAAAACAGAGACCATATACGAGGTGCCCGCAGACCCCCCGGTGGAGGAAGCAGCCTAGCCCTGGTTTAAATTGATTATCTAAATTCACCCCCATTAACTCTGCGTTCCCTAAATTCCTCATAAGTTCCGTATTTTGACCGGAAAGATCAGTGTGTTGGATTGTCAAAATTGTATATTTATGGTATAACCCCCGACACAGAACAATTAGCGTGACCGTAATGGGTGCAAAGGTTTATTTATGTTGATGTTGATATACACATATCGGATAAATAAATTTGTTAAGAATTTTTTTAAGAATTTTTTTTCCTTATATCTGTGCTTTATGCATTTCATGATATAATGTGCTGATATATTATTGAGAAGTTAACAATTACAGTTGCTTCTATGACCTATTGTGAAGTGTGTGATAATATGCTGTAGTAATAATTGATACCTAATAACAACAGAAAAAGATGAAACAAATATTTTATTAATAAAGGGGTAAAGCTCTACTATGTCTTGAACATCCAACATTCAAAACATTATTTAAAAAACAAAATGGATAGTTTATGCCCGCATAAGCACCATTACCAGAAATCCACTGAATTCCTCTGTGCAGATATTTACAGCAATATCGCATTTATGAGAGAAAAAAGCAAATAGCCTAACCGGCAATCCCTCGAGAACTAAACAGAGTAAGAGAGAACTCTTAATTATCGTGTCCAGCAAGGTGAAGGAGAAAGCCCTTATAGTCTCCAGAAGTGTCCCCGGCTATTGCACGGTCCAGAGGAACGCTATTTCTTCTTTGGTATTCCTCACCAATTCGTTGCAAATCAACCTCGGCTCTGGTTGTCACTACTCTAGTAAGGGCCCATTCATCAGTTCCCAGTCTGTTTATAGCAAGCCTCAAGACTTTAGAAAAATATTTCTCTGGATATGTCAAACACTTGATGGTAGCCCTCAATAATTTCAAATATTTATCTTTTGGATCAGTTTTCAGATCCTGCAGACATAAGACCACTGTCAGTTCATCCACCAGTCCCTGATTAATCTTATAATCACTTAATGACAATTTATATCTTGTCTTTATATATTTTTGTTTTGAAGTAAGTCTATTATCCTTTTAAATGTAGTAATTGGTTCATCTACAATAAAATTATCACACGAAATCATGTTTCTTAAAGTGAAAAGTAACATCGTCGACAACATAAGTTCAGCATTACAGTTGATACTCAAACAAAAAACAGATATTTAGTTAAACACATAAATGATTCATAAACGGCCAAAACGTCTGTACCTTGTTTATGGCATTCCCGAACTCATTCTTGTACTGATTTAGAGTTGCTGTTATCTGCGCTCTACTCCTTGTTGTCAAAATCCTGACCAGGTCCTCGTCATTGTAGGCCTTCTTTGAAATCTTCTCATGAAGCATTTTAGCCTCAGATTTTGCTAATGTCATATTCACCTCATCCCCCTCATAACGGTATGTGCTCACAAGAGGAACCAATAGCTATTATTGAAGTATCAAAAACAAAGTTTCATCAGGTAATATGATTTTTTTTAGAAATAATTGTTAGATCCCGTGCATTTTTGGAATCGCTTATTTCTTAAAAGTTCCCTAAGTAACGTAGAAAAAGTGACGTTTGCTACAAAATAAGTTCGAACTACACACGCATCTTAGATAGGCATAACAATAATGCACCAAAAAAAAATGGTCTTAGCTTTTAAATAAAACAATTGCACTGAACGGGTATATTCATCCTCTGAAGGCTCTCTTTAAAGAGAAAAGGGTTATGTATTTTAGAAAAAAAATTGATGGAGAAATGACATCAAGCAGAGGCATCAACATTTGAATTATTATGTAAGAACCTGCAACTTTTCCTATCAAGAGATAAACACGTTCTTTAGGAAGTTAAGGTTTTACCTTGCGGATGTCCCCAGAAGTATGATGGGCAACGTCCTCTTCAAGGGACTTTTTGAAGCGGGATTGATATGCTTGCTTAGCTTTGAGCAGATCAAGTGAAGATCTAGTGGAAGTAATTTCTATAATGACCCAATCGTCCGAAGTTAACTTCTTAGTGGCTTCATTAGCTAAAAAGGCATCACGCTCAGCAGGATCCAGAACCCACAACAGCACGGCCCTCTTTTATATTCAAAACATCACACATTAGAAAAGAAACTAACTTTATAACTGCAACTACCAATTTCCTTTAATAAAGTTTATCCGTATAGAAAATTGAAAAATTGATAAAAGATTGTTAAATTGAAAGTTCTGAGTTCTGACAAATGAAATGGACTTCAAATTAAGATTTACCTAAAGAAACCATATATCGAAATATTTAAACTGACCTCAAAGTCACTTGAAAGTTCTTTGTCTAAGTCTTTAAGAAGATCTTCTCCATAAGCTAAATAATAAGCTTCACGAATCAACTTACGCTGAACTGCATTTCTATGAGCCAGGATTGATATTATCAATGCTTCATTCGTTCCCCACCCTGCAAAGATAGGTGACAAGTGACAACTGGATGGACAATGGAAACAAACTTGCGAAATAAGAGAATAAAAAATGCCTCAAGTAAATTCCCTGATTTATTTGAGCACCTCTGAATTATTCAAATTTCACTATGTGTGTGATGGTAATCTGTTTTGCACTTATTTTACTGAGATTGAACACATACACAGACAAAGGTACAAAAACTAAAATATATTTACAAAGGTACAAATAAGGCTATGTCAAACATGTGCATGAAACCGGACGGTTTCAAATTCAGCTCTTAGAAACAGAAGAGTTGACACCACCGGCAACCAAATCAATTTCCCTGCAGTCAAACTGTTCTACGTATTCACGCAGTTATCAAATTGTAACCGTTGGATGAAGATCCAAAGCCATGTTTCCATCTTGTAAATTGAACTTAAAACATTTATGATTCAAGACCTGAGTTGTCTGATATTCGTCCAACTATCCAATCCAACAGTCACAATTTGCTGACTGTAATGCATGTGTGAAAAACATGACCGCAAGAAATGCGGTTTCAGCATCCATCCATTCATTCATTCATGAAGCAGAAACAATTAACAGCGAGTGCATAAGCCAAATACAAAGCACAGCACTATAAAACGCTCAGTCAGATCACAAACACGCCAGTATAGATCGAGAAAATGTTAAGCCGATGGATGATGCATTAACAAACTAAAAGTGAATGAAAATAGAAGAAATGAACGAGTGAATGTAACCTTGAAAAGCTTTTCGCAATTGCTCAGAGTCTTCAGATGGAGAAGGAGGTTGAGGAGGAACCTTCAACGTCGCCATTTGCTCAGGATCTCTGTCCCTAAGGCAATGTGATTTGATGCAGAAAATTGAGAGGAATGTGAGGAGTTGGTGCCTGCTTAACCATTTATATAAGGAAATTAGGAACCTATTGATACCACAAACCAAATCAATTAAAAACACTGAATTCAATTATTAATATATTACACATCTATCTAATCATAAACTGATACCTCTCTCAGATAAGACATCGTTGACTTTTCTAACAAGTATTTAAAAAAATTACCATTTAAAAAAATAGAGAATAAATTACACCACTAATACTTCAAAAATAATCACATAAAAATTTTAATTGATGTAGTTAATTAAAAAAAAAAAAACATTGTTAAGTACCAGATTTACCTTCATTGATGATTTTTAAAATTTTCTTCTTTCTAAAGGGTAAACGTGAAAATGAATCTAAAATTATGTAGATATTATAAAACCTTAAATTGAAAAATTCTAAGATAAGTGTTTTAAAATTTATTTATAGCTCTTGAAAGACGACTTCACTGGGGATCGAACCCAGAATCTCTGGTTCCGTAGACCAGCGCCTTATCCATTGGGCCATGAAGTCCTGTTGTCATCGTTATTAAATTTAGATTTTATCAAGTTAAGTTGTTTCTTCTCTCTGCCACGTTTTGGCGCCGTGTCATCGTCCAAGAACCCACCTAGGGAGCTACACTGAAACCGCAACCGTTTTGGTGCACTCACCAACCTGAAATCACTTCTGCACCAAGCCGCCACCACCACCAAGAATACTATTTTTATTTTCATTATTATTATTATTATTATTATTATTATTCTTTGCCGGCGTGGCTTTCTTTCTACTTTTACAAAAGTCAGATCGTCACGGTAATAATAATAATGAAAGTGGAGTCTTTTTGCCGCAGAGATAAAAGGGGGCGAATGAATGAATGAGAGCCCTGGGAATATAGGAATCCAATCCTAGTTCTTTTTATTTTAGGTTTTAGCGGTGGAAATTCATCGTCGAGCGCATCTTATTCCATAAATAGCAATACTAAATGGGTAAAAAACAATCGTTTCGGAGCAAAGCAGCTTACTTTGTTTCTGATCTCACCACTGTTTTTCTCAACCCTATATCTGACAACAAAATCCCCTCTCTCCCTCTATCCGTAAGTATTCACTCTCTTATGGTTAATTTATTCTTCAATTAGTTTATTCTATGTAGTAATTTTTAAATATTGACTGTCTTATTGATATTGAATTAATCCTATATAGTAATTTAGGACACGTTTTTTGTGAAATTCACATGATTGTTATGCAGGCAGAAGAAGAAGATGATGATGATGATGAGCCAAAGGTTGGTAGTCATGATGTGACAATTGATGGGCCTGATACTTCGTCATTCACTGCGTTTCTATATTCTCTGTTGTCTTCTTCGGATTCCGGGGATAGCATTGGTGAGGCTGATGAGAAAAATGATGGTGGGGTGGCAGGTGATGACTCTTCATTACCAGGCTCTGCCGCGATGGAAAGTTTTGTTGTGAAGAGACGTTTGTTTTCCAGGGACAGGCATTCGCTTGGTAGGGCTATTCATCAAGCTGCCAAAATGGGTGGATTTCGCAGCAGGGATAGTGAATACACTGAAGAAGGGCGCCGCGGCGGTGGCGGCGGCGGCAGCGGCAGCGGCGTTGTTGAGATCAAGCGCATTGTGAAGGAGCCTGTGGCTGTGGCTGTGGTTGGTCATCGTGTGCCTGAAATTTCTGAGCCATCAATGCTCGTTTCAAATGGTCTAAGGGATGCTGTGTATTCTTCACTTCCGATGCTTATTCACGGCCGGAAATGGCTGCTGCTGTACAGGTTTGTATTTCTAAAGATGGTTATCAAGGCATTCGCAGAAACAAGATTGTGCTGTTCTGTTGACAGGTTTGAAACTCTTGTTGATTAATGTTTGTCATTACCTTTTTGAGTTTTGTGCAGCACTTGGAAGCATGGTATATCACTTTCAAACCTTTATCGGAGAAGCATGCTTTGGCCTGGAGTGAGTTTGCTGGTAACGTTTAATTGACCTTGGGAAGGTTATCAATATCATGCATGTATTTATGAATCATCTATGTATGTTCTGCATTTGAGATTTTTTGTCATCAAACAAACTTTCAGTTTTTCCCCTGTGGACAGGTTGAAGTCTGCCTGTACTTTTTTTTAACTGATTAAATTCTAGTGCACATTGGATTCGAGATAGATCATGCATTATATCTACTTTCAATTTACTGTAAGGTTAGTTCCAATTTAACAGTCAGAGTACATATTTTTACACATGAACAAGCAGTTCGTGATTCAATTTGGCAAAAGCAGAAAACGTAACTACTAAAATTGACAACAGCCTTTTCTTTTGTCACTGAAACTTGCTGAAAAATGGATGCACGAAGTTGGGATATTGTAACTAACAGTATTGTACTAGCATGCAGTAATTTAAGATGACTATGTGTTGAAGTCCCTGGTTTGTAAGTTTACTAGTTAAAAGTTTATTATTTAATTGTAAAAGCCACATCTTGGAATGTTATTTTATCATGGGTTGGCTTTATCTGATTGGCAATTACATGCATTACTGTGTCCTTCAATCAGCAAGACTAATTTTTATTCTCTTCATTCATGGATTGGTTCTCAATATCAGCTTTCTTTTTTTTTTTTTTAGGTTGTTGGAGACCGTAAAGGAGCAGTGTTTGGTGGGGTGGTTGAAGCTCCTCTTAGACCGTCCAACAAGAGAAAATACCAGGTGCACCACTCACCTCTTATCTCTACTTTCTATGTTGTTGGGCTTTGGCTGCTTCACTTTTCAACATGCTGATTTTTATTTTATTTTTATCTCTTTGGCACTAAATTTTGCCCAGGGAACCAACGATTCATTTGTTTTCACAGACACCTCTGGTTGCCCAGTTATATATCCCCCAACAGGTATCTATTTTTTCATTGGGTTTCAATAAGCCTTTTTTTTTTTATCTTTTGCCGTTATCACTTGATTTGTACGATTGGTATCAAAATCAATTATTGATTTGGTCTACTTGTCAATCACTTGTATTGGTTGAATTACTAAATTGTTTTTTTTTTTGGAGTAAAATATGATTTTGGTTCTTCTAAAATTTTGGTAATTAATTTTAAGTACCTAAAATATTTTTTTTCGTGCGCCTTTTGTCTCTACAAAACTAAAATGTGTCAAATTTGGTGTTGGTTAGTAACTCCGTTAGATTCAAGGAAAGTCATAGGTAAGTATAATTTCTCTTTGTAAAATAGATCGATGATCTATGTGAAATATTTTACATTTTTTTAGAGGAATGAAAAACATGTTTTGTCTTAACTGTTTTTTACATTTTTAAGTCTATTGATATGTAAGTCACTCATTTAACGGTGTTTAATGGAGTTATTTATCGAGATCAAATTTGACACATTTGAAGGACTAAAATCATATTTTACCCCCTTTTTTTTATATATATATCTCAAAGCCATGGAGAATGAGAGAATTGAAGTTGATTTTGAGATGAAAAATGCATACAGTTTTCCAACTTATGAATCCCCCGTGGGAATTTGTGGTGAACCATTTAGAAATTATTCGATTAAGTGCGATTTATTTTAAAACAAATGTGGTTCATTTTTACCTCATAATTTGGCTATATTTCATAACACAACCACCCGTTTCCATTTCTTTTTTAAATTTAAAAAGGCTACATCTGTGGATTGATCATAGGATCATACAACGTCTTGCTATTCAATATATAGAACCAATATGTAAGGTTTAATATTAACTCTGTTCATTCATCTGAATGTGTCTTGTTGATAAACTCTGATTTTCAACCTTTAAGCACTTGATCAACTCAGCTCAGAATAAAAAAATAAAAAAGTTGATATGCTGCTATTGTAATGACCCCGAAAAGGTTTATATATAGTTTGGGATTCAGCATCAGTTTGAGGCTTATGTTTTGAAACATGATGAAGTTAAACCCTACCCTCTTGATTTGCATGAGTGACGGAAAATGTTTATCTGGCTTTTTTTGGAATTCCATATACTTCGTTTCTCCTTACTAGCTACGCTGGATTAACCACAACATTGCAGGAGTTAACCGCTACTTCACACTTTGCACCACTGACTTTCTAGCAATTGGTGGGGGAAATCATTTTGCGCTTTATTTGGAGGGTGATCTGTAAGAACCTTCTTCTTTCATTATGCCATCTTTTATCCCCCTCTCTCAAACAAATCATTAGCCTACCCTCTACAATATCACTGTCCTGTCCTGAAATTTTTTTGTGTTTGGGTTACAATTTTGACACACCTGCTCTGAAATTTTTTTGTGTTTGGGTTACAATTTTGACACACCTGCTCAAGATTGAACGGATCAAGCTCGGATTCAGAAACTTACGGGAATCCATGCCTCGCACATTCCCAGGAATTTAAAGTGAAGGAAGTAGAGGTGCACATAAAGCTCCTCAATCTACCCAAACCCCCTTCTGTTTGTTCTAGCTGATTAGTTCCCCACCAAATCCAAATCTATTAGTTTTAGAGAAACCAAAAACTCATTACAAAAGCTCTTTCTTCCATGCAGTTGTGGGGCTTCGTTTTTCCTTCAAAGTATGACGAAATAGTGGAATTATCCAGAACAGAGGCACCAGGGATCTGTCGCTTTTGAATGGTGATGCTGACTCATGAACATGGCAATACTAAGGGATGCAAAGTTGATTGATAGACAATATGATGAAGATATTTCATGTATCCATTCATGTTACCACTGTGTAACTTGCTTGTAAATATTAGCAATGCTGTATATACAGGTTCATACCCATTACAAAATGCCCCATTTTTGTTACAAATTGGAGCAAATTTATGTGTTTTTATACTTCATTAATGCAGATGAAGAAAAAGCCTACAAAAAATAAAATAAAAAGGTAAAAATGATAAAACTAAAAACATTATTAAAAATAGTTCTCATTTTTCTAATAATTGTTATTTTGTTTATCCATTCACAAAATATTTAATATTTAACGTATTATTCCATATAATTTTTCTGTCTACTTCCTGTTCAAACCACCTAAAAGAATGAATTAAACTGATTTGTATGGTGGGTAAAGTATGTTTTGTCATTCCTACCATCTATCTTTTTGAAGATGCTTTAAAATACTCAAGGATAACTGCTATAATTTTATTAAAATAAAAAAACACTCCTGTTTCAGAAATAATATCTGATTAAAACTTTATTCCTTCTATCAGAATTATAACTATCAATGAGTTTGTTTTAAATCAGGGTAACATATATAATAAATATTTTTTATATTTTATAAAATAAATGTTAAATGAAAATTAATTACATATTAACTTAATATATTTAACTCATTCTTTAGTAGTAAATATCTCCATGATGAGTTGCTTATTAATATTGTATCCATAAAAATAATATCTTATTGTGAATTTCATAAATATGAGTTTCTAAAAATGAAAGAAATTTTCAAATAGATATGATTATTGCTTAACCAACTCTTCAATTTTAAGAAACCTTCTACTGGTAATTCCTACTAGAGGTGAATATATTTTGTGGGGACATGTAATTAAATTTCATTTAATATTGTTTTGTAACACAACAAAAGTATCATTACAAAATACAATTGTGCTGATTTTCAACCATATCATTTACATATCATTTACAGTGATAATTCTGATAAAAGGAATCAAATTTTAATCATATATTATTTCTGTTAAAAGGAAAAATATTATTTAAGAGAGTATTTGAAAGAACAAAATGAAGTAGAATTTAAAAATATTTTTAAATAACAGATGTAGGTATGGAGTGATTATGATGTTGCTAGAATAGTGTCTTGTTTGTCTGTTCTTTAAAGCTAACAACAGAGCTACGCCACTTATGGTTGTGCTTCTTCTTCTTGTGCACCATGAGTGCCCCCACCACCCTAAAAAGAAGAAAACATTTCAGAAACCATTAAAGCCATATATGATGCAATTGCACAAATGTGCCAGCAAATATAAATAGATACGAGAAAGAACATCAGTGGATACACACACTTTTGGTAAATACATCATCAAATGCATGCGCAAGAACCACTTGCATATATCTTTTCAAAATCACCCCCTGTCTGCCCAATTTCACACACTTCATGTGGTTCAGAAAAAAAGTCAAGAACACTAAGGAATCAACTTTTCTTTTTGAGAGAAAAACACTTTCTATCCAAAAATGTATAAAATTATAATAATTCAGGTAATAAAAATATTATATGAATACTAAATCAGTTATACGTTTAAAATAAAATCAGTTGGTTTTAGATATAATAAAAGAAAATTTAATTTAGAAATTTAACATGTTAAAAATATTTTCATGTTACTTGTAAGTAAATATTAGTTTTTGTGAAATTACATCCTCTGCCTGATTTCATATTTTCCATCGAGTGAATTTTATATTCAAACTTAGATATCATATTATCTTTTATTGATTTATTTTTACATTTGTAACTAGAAATCACGAGATAATTAAAACTTACAAATTATAATTTTAATTTATTTTATGGTTATATATATATATATATATATATATATATATATATATATATTTTATGACAATCAAATTTGTATTTCTATCTTCTGTAATACTACCTCACCAAATGTTTTATAGCAGGTTAATTTTTAGTTTAAAAAATATAGAAGAAACTAAATTCTACAAGAGTAAGGAAAATGAATTTATAATTAATTTTATTTATATCGAGATCCTAGTGTTACAAAAAATATATCATAAGAGATTTTTTTTTCTTTTTTATTGTTGATGAGTTCAATGACCATCAAAATCCATGCCAATGAAACATATAATTATTATGAACCTTAAGATAATTACTTTAAAAATACTTAAATTCAGCCTATATATAACATTTTTTTTAGATTCAAGAATTAATTAAAAGTGTACATTTTAAAATACCAGGAAAACTATTCAGTTTAATTTTTGTTTATTGAATAACATTGTATTCACTTTTCCCTTGTAAAAAAAACATTGTATTTAATTTGTACAGCTTATTTTCTCATTGTTATATGTAATTAGAATAATTAATATTCAAAACATTTTCAGATTTTCGCAATTCTATTAGTAATGTATAACAATTATAGGTATAAATAATGAAAATTTTCAATTTTTTTTTCATGGTTCATTTAAAGCCAAAAGCAAAAGCACTGCAAATATGCTGAAAATTCGTTCCATTTCTGAAACAGTGATGGTGACACAACGATGTCGTTTCATAGCAGGCGTAGTTCACGCCGTTACGTGGAGTATGCCATAGGTAAGCATATCTATATCATATCCATCATCAGTCACCGTCAAATCAAATCGGAAAATTGAAATCGGCAGAGGAATCAGAATCAGAGCCCTGAATGGTGCCACCGCCACCACCCAAGTCAAGAGGGGCCGCTGAGGGAATCCACAATGCTGCCAGGATTCAGTTCTTTTCCATTCTCCTCGCTCTCCAATACGGAGCTCAACCTTTGATCTCCAAACGCTTCGTCAGGTTTTTCTTTTCACACTTTTTCACCTTCACCATTTCAATTCTATACTTTCCTCTTTTTCTCTCGATTCGCGACATGTTGTATTTGTAATTGTAATTTCCGTCGTCAACAACTGAGCAACTGTTCATCATCTTCTTTGAAGTAAAAGTGCTGGAACTGGAATTTAGTTGCCAGTTATTTGACTAAGCATAGAAAATAATCGTTATTTTGATTATAGTTGGCAGAGTTAATTATCTTTTTCGTTTGATCTATGCTGTGGTTGTTGTAATAAGATTGGTTAGGATTTACTAATAGTACTTGGTGGATTAGGATTACAGGATTGACTTACTTGAACAAATTAAGTTCATTTTTTAACTGTAGAAAAATCCGCAATGGTGGGATTTTGGAGGGTATGCAATCCCGCTGGTAAAAATTAATGTAAGGGAAAGAGTAAGAGTCTCTAAAAAGTGAAGTCCAGTTGATCAAGTATGATGTGTGAAAAAAATGAATGAATCCTTTGAGAAATCATCACTCGAAAGTATATTTTCCTTTTTCTGTATTGATGCTTAGGCGCATATGGAAGTTGAAGGTCTACTTAGTTTGGTACTTGGCTTTACCTGGAACTAGAAATTCTAGTAAACCATTTAGATGTAGCTGCATTTTTTCGCCTTGTTTTGCCTGTCATACGTTTATATAATTGAATACAGACTTGCGGAGAAAGTGGGAATTATGGTGAAGATGAGTTTAATTGAGCAGTCTACTTCCACTCCTGTGTCCTTGTCAGATTTGTCTCTTCTAAAGTGTCTAGGTGCACTTTAGAGGATAAAGTTTAGCTGTAACCGTTAACTGACAAATATCACTGTTTGAGATTGTCATACAATAAATAGACATTATGAAGTTGTTAAAATTAACTGTTATAACAACACTTATCCTCTAAAGTGTACTTTCCTCACTTTAGAGGAGCTAAATACGTCCTTGTTCCTTATTTTAGATTCTGATAATGCTACAAAACTATCTGTCGGTTGTCCATGCAGTTATTCTTGCTTTAAATAGGTTAAAAATGTTAGATGATGTTTTAAGCATAGCCCACCTATATTTGTCATATGTATTTAGTCTAGAAACTATGAGAAAAAATTTTGGGCTGTTTTTCCATCTATTTTCTTTATACTTGTATTACATCTTTGTCCTTATACATGATTGCTGTGCCAGCAAATGTGCATTCAGTTTTCCTTAGTAGATACGTGGACACAATTAATTAGGAAAAGAAGAGGGATATATCACAGTCTGGATATAACATTAAATTGATGATTAGCACAAACATAAACTATAGCACCAGCACTTGAACACAATTTGGAAGCACTAGTGAAAAACCCTATAATCAAAATTAAAAAGAGGCAAGAATGTTTCAAAACGCTCTACTAGTTATTATCCACTATCTTGTATCCTATTCTTATTAGGGTCTTGCTAATTAGGCCCCATTAGGGCACTGATTAAGGAATTAAAAGGAGAAAGTTTTTATTGAAAATTATATGGTAGCACATTAAAAAATCACAGAAAAGTGCACTTATCCGCATCCCAATACAAAAATTTCCCCTTTTAATTCCTTAACCAATGCGGCACTGGTTAGCATTTGCCTTATTATATCACGATTCCATTTCATCCATATTGGCACCAAAAATTTAAAGAAAAAAAAAATTATCCAGGCTGCATATCTGATTGATTATCGAACATGGATATGATGTTAACACTAATATAGTTTGGTAATCATCATGACATATTAATTGTGGTTTGTGGACTTTAAATTGTAACATATTTTAAGTTATTCATTTCCTTGTGCATTAAACCATTGTGAAGGACCATGTAGCATGCCTTATAACCTACTTTCCTCTCTTCATACAGACGGGAGGTTATTGTGACTTCATCTGTTTTGGTTTGTGAGCTAGTAAAGGTAACTCTTGTACTGTTGTACATAATTTTGGTATGCATTATTATAAAACCTGTACTATAACCTACTTTTATTGAACGTTCATCTATCTCTGTAATCTTCCTTTTAGGTTTTATATGCCGTGTTTATCATGGCAAAAGATGGTAGTCTAAGGAAAGTGTATAAAGAATGGACTTTGGTTAGTGCATTTACTGCATCAGGACTGCCTGCAGCTATATATGCATTGCAAAATAGTTTGCTGCAAATTTCTTACAAGAATCTGGATTCACTCACATTCTCTATGCTGAATCAGACAAAAATATTGTTCACTGCATTCTTTACATATTTCATATTGAGGTATGTTCCTACAAGTACAACTTTTAATATTTCTGCTAGTGTTCACATGTGTGAAAGAGGATATGCTAAATTGTTATCTGTTTGTTAAGTAAATGTTTTCACTCAATAGCTGTTGTGTCAGTATAACAAGCTTAAACTAAAAGTGATTTATTCTTAGTAGCAGGAGTTGTCCCAGTTTCTTGTGGTTTTGGCTGGTCAAGGAATATTTTTGGTGTTTAGGTTATTTTCTTTAACCTACTGTTTCTTGAAGTCTATGAGTTGGTTTGAGGTCATAGATGAGCACTTGGTGTTTTTGGGAAACTTCAACTATATTGTTAGGTTTGATGTATTTCACACTCTGTTTTTACTTTTAGGTGTTTTGGATATGTTGATTTCTTCTGTTGTTTGGGTGCTTCTACAACACTTTCAGTGGGTGGTCATGGGGAGACTCTTTGAGGAGCATTTCTTCTCTTCTTCTCTTACTAGATGGATTTCTGCATTTCTTCGTTTCTTTGCTGTGTTATGATGGTTCGTTTTATTATTTTTCTGGTTTCTTTTCGTTCTTTGCAACTACTTCTGCTTACATGGGTTTTGTTTATTATTTGTTATTCTTCTGTTTATAAGGTTGTTCTTATTGTTGGTTGGCTACTAGTACTGATAACTTGACCAAATTATTAGCATATATAGGATTTAATACACATTGGGTTAGGTTTCTTTAAGAGAGTACATCTATAGTTGTATTTTCATTAACTCTTAGCCATCAGTATCTCTTTTCCTTCTCTAACCTACATGGAATCTGATAATGGTTCATACAGGCAAAAACAATCAATTGAGCAAATTGGGGCCTTGCTCTTGTTAATAGTTGCGGCAGTTCTTTTAAGTGTTGGTGAAGGCTCTAGCAAAGGTTCCTCTAGTGGTAATGCTGATCAAATTTTATTCTATGGAATTATTCCTGTATTAGTTGCTTCAGTGCTCTCCGGATTGGCTTCTGCATTGTGTCAGTGGGCCTCTCAGGTTACCAGAACTTTCAAATTTATTTGTCAAATTTATAGTTACTTTTTTTCTTGATATTATTGTTTATCTAATGATTCCTTCTATCACAGGTTAAGAAACACTCATCATACTTGATGACTATAGAAATGTCTATTGTTGGAAGTCTATGTTTGCTAGCTAGTACTTTTAAATCTCCAGATGGGGAAGCTATGAGGCAACATGGATTTTTCTATGGTTGGACTCCTCTTACTTTGGTAATGTTCTTACGGCTGTTTGACTTCTGTTTTTTTATTCTTAGAACTGTTAGATTGTTGCCATGCTTATGCATGCACAGAAGAATCAATCGACCAATACATCGGTATAGAAAACGGAAAGGTTCAAATTTTGGCATTCTGCCTTCTTTGTGCCAAGCATAAGCATGTACATGTTAATTGGGTCTGATACTTTTTTATGTCAGGACTGGTAACAAATTATTTTTGTTGGGGAGAGGAGGGGGTTATATTAATTCCCTTACACTCTTGTTGATGAAAAATATGTGATTTACTACATTACTGAATAGTATGATAATTACTTGGAAATCCATATTATGGACTTTAGTGCCTGGTTCTGGCCATTTTTATCTATAGTTACAGTGGCTTTTATAGATATTGATGCACATCAACTTTAAAATGTTAAATATCTTTTATGTGTTCAATTCAGATTCCAGTAATGTTCAATGCTCTTGGTGGAATTCTTGTTGGTTTAGTTACAAGCCATGCTGGTGGTGTTCGAAAGGTAAGTTTAACTTTGTGAATTGTAACTGAATTACTTTTGGTATGCACTATTCTCAGATGAAAGGTAAAATGGTGATCAGATCCTAGTCAGTCCTTGTTGTTAGTTTGCAGTGTTCCTACATCACGTATCAGTTGGTCAATTGGAGGAAACAGATTCTACGAATTTATTTATTAGGGCTTTAATCTAAATTCTAACATGCATTATTAATGTTGATTAAGAGAAATTATTATTGCACCATATTGGTGGAGCATTGAGGCAGTAACTCCACAAACTTTTGATACTTCTAACATAAAATTATCGAGGAACTTGGAAATTGCTGGACATGCTGACAATTATATGACTTTTGAAATCGTTTCACAGGAAAATATTAGAGCAGAAAACTCTCCGCATTTTTCTGTTTTGCTCGATTGTACTTACAGTGGCATTCATTCAATGTGGTTGCAGGGATTTGTCATTGTTTCTGCTTTACTCATTACAGCATTGCTACAATTTATTTTCGATGGAAAACCACCTTCGCTGTATTGCCTTTTGGCTCTTCCACTAGTGGTCACTAGCATATCAATATATCAGAAATACCCCTACCAGGTTAAGAAGAAGGAGTCATAGAATCTGGCCGTTATAGCATGGGATTTATTTCGTTAGTTCCCTACAACAACTACTTTATTTTTTATGCCGAATATAGCATATTGTAAATGATAGAACACAGAAGGCAAGCATTCTTTTCGATGTCTTCTCAATCTCAATAGAATTAGGGTGTTATACAGAGTTTCTTCTTTTTTTAAAATTCTGCTGCAATCTTTAAATGATCATTTATTTGTCTCCTTTTCATTGTGTGGGATAACAGGATTTCAATTTGAAATTTACATCGTAGGAGACATTGCCTTTGTCGCTGATGAATTTAACATTAGGAGTTTTTTATGAATCCCTACTCTTGAATAACATGGTTTTGTTAGACGGACAAATACAAGGGACTGCATCTTGCAAGGACCCATTATGATCACGTGTATGTAGGGTACTTGCTTTCCACGCCCTAATAATTTCTTTCGCCACCAATCCAGAATGTGATTTTACGTCCTGGATTGCTAGTCAGGAAGTTAATTTTACGGTGAGGATTACATGGGGTAAAAAAGGTGCAAAAAGAAATAGAAATTATTGAAGGGTAAGGAATTGCCTAGAAATGGAATCCACCAGTTATAATAATAAAACAAGGGCTTAAACACTTTTTTTTTTAACTTAAGTACTTTTTTTGCCTAAAATATATTTGTATTTTGTTTTTATTCAAACAAAAATTCTTTAATTTTGGGTCTCTATCTTTTTTAGCCATTCTAATTTTGTTGCATACAATTTCTTGAAAATCATACAAAACTATGTATCTCACAATAAAACAAAACAAATAGTAAAGTGTGTTTGAAAGAAAGTATAGGAGATGTCTTGTTATTAGAGTTGATAAAATAAGTTTGAAAAGAAACAACCTAATTTTGATCAGTCTGATCTAAGTTGGACGAATTATTTTTAAAATAATAATTATAATTTGAAATTACAAATATTATGTTATTTTTTTAATATTTTTAAACTTTTAAATATTATATTAAAAATAAAATAAAATATTTTATAAAAACTAAAGTTATTTTTTATCTTAAATTAATGTTTAAATTTTAAATTTTGAGGATTAAATATTCATAATTACATGACATTGTTAACTATGTCCATATATTAACAGCAACAATGAACATTTGAACATATTTTGGATGGTAACAGATCAATCATACTAATATAAGAAAAATATATATTTATATGTAAAATTAGTTATATTAATTAATGAGAAGAGGCTTTAAAACATCTACTTATTCATATTTTTTATTTCTTTAAAAAAAATTCACCATTTATCTCCCCTTTTTAAATATATCTCCTGCTTTTTCCCCATTATTTTTTTTTGTTCGCTCCTATGTAAAATAAGTTCTCGGTTGAACCTATATCTATCTATATTTATTATTTATCAACCTATCATTATCCAAAACAAAAGCAAAGAGAGAGACAAGACACTGGTGGCGGGGTAATTACTAGGCCGAGAGAGAGGGTTTTGAGCACTGGTAACAGGGTTTAAGGAAGCGCGGAGACAGGTCGAAGCTTAATCCAAAGAAGAGATGGCACAGATCGCAAACCTTCCCATGACCCCACTCATGCCCACCGCTTCCTCGAACGACATCAAAGAAATCGCCTTTAAGACCGCTCCTTCGGCTTCCAAGCTCCAAATCAAGCTCTTCCTAGAAACTTTCTGTGGCTTCGAGGTCCAAAAGGTGCGAACTCTTAACATGAAGGGCAAGAAGAAGCGTTACGGGGGCTCCTTGGTCGCAAAACCTGATTACAAGAAGGCATATGTCACCCTCAAGAACCCACTTTCCTTCTCCCAGAACCCTTACCCCTTTGGTTCCACCCTCCAAGACAACAAGAATGAGAAGATGTTGACCACTCACCGCTAGGTCTGTAGTTTTGAGGGTTTCAATTCACTCTTTTCTTTTCTTTTCTTTTCTTTTTTTGTTCCATTTGGGCATAAAAAAACATAGAATGGTACAATAGGTTGTCGGAGTTTATTGATTAATAAGGATTATGTATGGTTTTCGGAAGTTGTCTACCACTGCATGTTATTATTTCAAAATCTAAAAATTTTCTTGAGTCGCCTGGCATTCATTCGTTCTGAATTGACCTTTTTATGTTTCGGAAAGTCTGTTCTGACATGAATGAGGGTGATTCATGAAAGCACAGAAAGATAAATTGTTTTTTGCAATATCAAATATTATACCGAAATCATAACGATAATTTATAAATTAAATGATTTTTTTTTTTTTAAATTGATGTTGCCTTTAACGGGGAAGCACGCACTAATGAAATAAGATCATGATGCAGAATGAGAAAGAAACATTTCTATTATTTAGACATGCTAATGCTAATGTACCCCATAGGATGGTATTTTAGCTTAATTGATTGTTGACATAAATTCATCTCTGTTCAATTCACTTTTGATGTTTGATATGATAAATTAATCTATTTAGTTTTTTAAAATGATAATTCAAATTAATATAATTAATTTTACGATGTACCCGGAATTTTAGTTTGGAACTTTGAATACTGTGCAGTTCCGGCATGAGGGACTTATTAATCACTAAACCAGTGTAATAAAATATCCCCCTAAATTAAAATTTGATTTTGACTTATATAATTTAGCAGCCTATTTCCTATAATTTGAACTCTTACAATGCACATGTTGTTTCCACTCGAGTGACATTTTTTTGCGATGCAAGAGCATTGTGTCTTCCCTTCATCTACATCTTTTATGGTTCTTTGCTAAACTTAAAGGTTGATGTTCTATCAACTGTATGTTGTTAGGGTCAATGATCTTGTGTCAATAATCTAGTCACTTTTTCGTTTTGTTCTTAGATATGTAAATTTGTTTACTTGTATTGCTGCATTTGAAGTCTTAGTCTGTATATGAAAGCTAAAAGCCTATGACTAACAATATCTTCAGATACAAAATTTAGACACATGCTTCATATAAAGAATCGCTAGCTAGGTGTTTTTGCTACAGTGCATTTTATGTTGAAACTTGAAAAAAATGAAATGCTTTAAGACATGGAGACCCTTCTTCTAGGGTTTAGTATACGTAGAATGGAGTTTGGTGACTTGGGTGTGTCCTGTCTTTCTCCAATTTCAACTCCTGCTGGTTTTGTATGTAAGGAGTTCTTCATCTTCCGCCAATTTAAAATCCAGCCTGATGAATTCTTTGGCTTGTTGCTTAACTTTTCATACTCCTGTTGTAATTCGAAGTAGTCATTCTGTAGTTCTAGCATTTTGGACTTTACATTCTCAAGTTCTGCTTTGAGTGACTTAATGTCCATAGTGGCAGATGTCTGGTTTCCTTCTTGTTCTGATTGAATTCCACTCTGTGCTGGCTCCTTCTCTTGCATTGCTGACCTTATTTTTACTTGCTCTGAAAATAGAACCTGCATGTTGTGTATACTGTCATTCAGGGGGCAGCTGTTATGCTGAATCATCACTCTTGTTCTATTAGCTCTAAAAATCATTCTTTGTACAGTTAACTGTTGTCAACTATTTTCCATTTGGATAGGATTGTTTTTCTGGCCTCTCCTTGAGCACGTGGTTTCAGGGAGGAATTGGGGGTGTTGCTGCTTTTTTCTCTGCTTATGAGGAAGCTTTGGTATTATGCTGCCTCTATATTATCCTTCTTTCCTTCTAATTAAGTTTCTTCTTTCGTTTAAAAAATTACCATTCACCTATAGATTCCGTTAGTGTTTTACGGGTTCCCTATTTAAAGTAAAAGGTCTATCTAGTTACAATTATCAATATAATGAACAATATAATCATTCCGAAATTAGTTATAATGTTTAATTGGTTAATGTGTTTGTTCAACAGAGGCTGCTAAATCTGAATTCTGAATCGTGATATATAGTCATCACACTAATTGTTGATTTTTTATTGGTGGAATCTGAAATTCTGAAATAGTTGGTTATTTGTTAATTTATCATGCATGAAGCTGAAATAGTTGGTTCCAGAGATTGCATACTTCACCTGGACAACAGTTCTTAGGGGCAATCTCTCATTTTGTGCAGCATGAAGGCATGCATCAAGTGATAGTTTTTCACAGTTCATGATTTTGCAGAGTCTTTTACGATCATGCTCGCTTAGTGAAGGATGGGTCTGTAGTGATGTCAAGTATCAAAATGTCAGAACTTTGTTTTGAAATGCCTTTAGTTAAAACAAGAAACTGAATTACAAAAGAATAAGAATTAAAATGATGACCTTGAGGTAGGTGTCTATGGCTCTATACAGACCATCGTCATATGATCGAGAATTTTCAGGGAGCAACTCAGCGAAAACTTGGAATTTAGTGACTGAAAGATTTGGATCTCTTGCAATTTCAGCTAAGTAATTGTCCAAGAGCCTACTAATATTGAATTTCCTAGTCTTCTGTTGCTGTTGCATCTGCTGTTGTTCATGCATCAAGAAGTATTCAACAATTCGTTGCACTACATCTATGTCTAACATGGTGCATTCTTCAGAAGTATTAGTTGCGCTACTAATGAGGAGAAAAAAAAGAATAGAGAAAGACATAAGATAGATATTAGTGTCATTGGTTTCATAATTTGTGGTTTCTATCTTTTTTACTTTTGGTTTAGAGAGTTGCGGAGTTAAATTTGACCTTTGGCATAATGCCATTATGCCAAATCCAATTGTGTGAAGAAAAAAATGAGAAGAATTGTAGCATACTCACGTGACTGTTTTTCCTTGATCTCCATTTTGATATCTTGGGATTAGAAGATCATTCACCTCAGCGTCTTCCAACACCATACTCACTCTCTTTTCCAGGTCTGTTGTGAGAGCTGGTGATACAGTATACATCATGGCCATCTTTAGCATCTGCAGCATGAACTTACATGAGACCGCATCTTTCTGAGGAGGAATAATGCTTATTAGGGTTTCAATAATTGTCTTTTGCTCCTTGCTGTGCCCACTGCTTTCTTTCTTCTTCCCACTAAAAATACTGAACTGTAGGTTATACTTTTCATGTCCGTATCCTCTTAATCCTTCTATCTCCATATCCATTCCTGGCAGCCATTTCATGGCATATTGCATGATACACTTACCAATGATCTCTGGTTTGGTTCCCTTTGCCCTTATTGCTGAGATGATCCGCATAAAATGGTCAATGCGGAAGGTGGCCACATCATTGAACCACCAGCTTTCTTGATTTGGTGCTGCATCCTCACTTGTTAGATCATCTTTGGAAGCCTTCCATGCTATGGAGTCGCAGCATCTTCTTACAATTTGGAGGTTTTCAGCCCATGGAGACAGGTTTTCACAAGATTTCAGAACAGTGATGGTGTCTTTCCATGAAGAAAGCACAACAAAGGTCAGGAAGGCTTCAGTCTTGGAAATGAGATTTCCATCTTCTAGTTCTTCACTCATCTCTAGGAACTCTGCTGCACATCTTAGTGCAGCTATGTTATCTGGGCTGAAGTCTACAGGGAGGCCATAACAGAACTTAAGAATTGTTTCAAATGTTTCAGATGCACCTGGGAAGTTTTCAAGTTTGATAGCATTGCCAGAATTTGAGATCAAAGGCTGAATTTCCAATCTTCCTATGTAACCGCACTTTGATAACAAGGGGTACTGTTGTTACAGAAAACGCTACCATAAGAGTACGTGATGATGTTATAGCAAAGTAGCTAACATGCATAATGATTAAGACATGAAGTTGCTGGTCTGTTTGGTTTCTTTTATTTTTATGACAAAAATGTAACTTTATTTCCATTATATCTTGTTTTCAAGATTTTGTTTAGAATAGTAATTTGTTATTTTCAGGATTTTCTTCACGAGATCTTAAAATCAAAAAATAAAATAAAATACCCTGTTATCAGCGAAAACACATTGAAAAAGTTAATTAAAAAAAAAAATCAAATACCCAGTTAGTTTCCCCGTGTTTTCTGCTGTTATTTTTTCAGGATTCCTAATCCGTGTCTACTAAAGTCTTGTGCTTTCTATCTCTCTCTGAGTAACTTTTTTTACCCTATCCAAAAAAAGATAAAAAGGCACGTGCACTCGTACGTAAAATACACACACCACAAAGAAATTAAGTGTGTGGTTCTTATGCTACCTGTGGTAGAACTATGTTCTACTCCAGTCAGTGTCACTCACAGAGATGAGGGTGTGGTAATAGACAATGTTACAATTTCCTTTGCTCTGTACGCTATATACACCGCTGATGATTCTATTTGGAAACATGTTTCTAAACCAATTAAGAGGAACAAGTCAATAATTTTCTATTGCAAGTCTTGAAGTCTCTAAATATGTCAAAGCATTTGCCTCTATACCTTGTGAACACTATAAGTGATTTCCTGGACTTGAATTAAAAAGTCTGTTGGGATTTGAGGAGCAATGAACCTGCACAAGACCAAATAAGAATAAAAGAAAAAAAAAAGAACAAACAAAAAACAAACACATAAGTAGTAAAGAATAGGAACCAGGAAGGGAACATAAAGGGTGAGTACCATACTTGGTTAGACATACAAATTTAAATTCATTCAGAGATGCAGATACTGGTACTTCAGAATTTTTAACAGTCAAATCTATAAAAGACGTTATTGCAGCTGTACCAGGAGTGTTCTCCTTTGAAGCTATCAACTACTGTTGTGTTTTTGTTGGGAATCACAATACTTTTGTCTGAAACCTTATCAATTCCATCAGTGTGACTCCCGGAGTCTTGTTGTGCTTGCCCAACTTGAAGGGACTTCATGGTGATTGTTTAGCTAATTGCAGTATAGTTGGGAAAGATACTTCATTTTTTATGAGTAAATCATGCAAGAGACCAATGGTATGAGGAGCCGTGATGTTGTCCATATTAATGTTGGGAATCGATTCTGTGGTGAGTGTAGGACTATAGTTAAGACGGTTGGTGAGTTGTTTCTTTCTTTCTAGGTTATCAACATTAATAACATTCTGTTGTTGGGTTGAAATAATAGCCGTGTGAACGTTTGAGGTTTCATATGCGTAGGGTGCATGGCTTTGTTTAACTTGGAATTTTCTCTTAAATGAAAACCACTCACATTAGTCAACCTAGTCCTTTTTTTAATGAATGATGAAACTGGTTCTGATAGATTTAGTTAATAATTTTATTCGCAAAAACATAATTTATAAACATATCATATTTTGAATTGTAATATATATATATATATATATATATATATATATATAGAGAGAGAGAGAGAGAGAGAGAGAGAGATTTTGAAAAAAAAAATTATTACCTCAATCTTTAATATTTATTTTCAACAAAATTATCTTTTTACATTTTTACCATGAAATTATATTTTGTAGAATTTTATTCTAAACTTAGAGTAATTTTTTTAATTATATAATATAATATTACAGACCCAGTTAAACCTGTTTATGATTTGACCACTAATTTATTAATCTAATTCTGTGACTGATGAAGCGTACGGATCCGAGTTTCACAGCATTTACAATATACTGTGTGTCCAACTTTAATGATTAAGAGTAAGTTAGATTTTACTTTCATAGTTAATTAAAAGGTTATACTTACTAAGAGGTTAACCGAGTAACCTTTTTTACATAAAATATTTATATAGCATTTTTTATCTGCTTAACCAATTGAACTAGATTCTGTTAATATAAAATTTTTATATAACTATCTAAGTCCAAAGTCTAAGTCTTTTTTATTTAATTAGAACGAAATAATTATAAATATTTTTATAAGTATTGTTGCGTTATTCCGGTCTCTAAATTTCGTGTAGAAAATACAATACTCTACATAAAAAAATAATAATAATACAACAGAAGTAATGTCTATACTGAGAACTTTTTCATCTTGAATCAAGACTTTAAATATCGTGTAAACCCTTAAAGGCTCATTTAAATTAAAAAAATTAAGAGAAAAAATGAAAAACGGTAGCATAAATAAGAGATAAGATGTAAGTGAAAATTTTGAAAATAAATGTATACTATATATTTAGCTATACATATATCAATTAAGACTTTTTTTTTAAATAGAAATATATTGTCTTTTGAGATCCTTGATAGAATGTCTTGACAACTTAAAAAAATGGAAAATGGAATGAGATAAAATGAGAGTAATTTTAAATTATCTTTTCGAAAGGAGAGAGAATTGAAAGAATATAAAAAGGATAAAAAAAAGATTAAAAAAATTGTTTTTTTAATTAATTTTATTTAATATATTTTTAATATTTAATAAATATATTAACATAACCATAATGTAACTCTTCAAATTTTTGAATTAGTAATCTTAATGTATATATAAAATTGTAAAATTGTAAAATTTAACATATTAATATCATTAATTTGAAATTATTATAATAATTATTAAATTTAAATTAACATATTTATTAATACATGGTATAAAAAAATACTTTTTTTTTTATTATATAGACTTAATTAACACCAAATGAAATAAAATAAAATAAAATAAAATAAAAAAGTGACAGAAATCAGAAAATTCGCGTGACACGGTCCTGAAGTAATCGAGGTTGGCGCTTTATCACCCCCATTCATACATAACGCTTTGCACCCGAAATTACGTTAAATTTGGTAATCCTTCACCCCTTTCGTTTGTTGCGATCAAAGAGAAGAGAATTAGGAAGATTCAGATCTGCGTGCGTCTCTGAGAGAGAAGAAGAAAGAGATTCTCCGAAATGGCGACGGTGTCCCCTCTCGCCAAATACAAGCTTGTTTTCTTGGGCGACCAATCCGTTGGGAAAACCAGCATCATCACCCGCTTCATGTACGATAAATTTGACACCACCTACCAGGTCCCATCCATGCTTTCTCAATCTCAATTTATCAAATCCAACTTTAATATTTTCATTTTCATTTCCCTTTCTTCTGTCTCTCTTTCCTACGACATGCGTTTTCATGTGCATGTGACTCACGTGAATCAATCTCTGATCATATCATCACGCACGCTATATATTTCTTTTATTTCCTGACTTTGCTTAGGAAACGAGTTCCGCAATAAATTTTCCTGTGATTTGAATTTGCCATGACTTTTTATGTCGATGGTGATTAGGACTTGAAAGGATCAAGAGGAGATAGCAAGATGTTCTCTGAGACTGAGATATACTTTTGTCCTGAATTTTTTTGGCTGTCTTAACTATATCGGATGGTGAAATTGAGGGACGAGTTTTCACTCATCCCTCAATTTTTCAGGCACATTTTAAAGGGGAAACTACAGTTGTTTAAAACTCGTTGTCAAATCGGGATCCTCGTTTTTTAAGTTGGTGAAATGCTAGAATGGGAAAGAAGAGCTTGTTTTAGTCATTGAGAAGGGCTTGACTTTAATCCACCTTGTGTTGATTTTTAATAGGCTTTTCTAATAAGATTTCTGATTGCTTGTAATGCTTCTTGTTTAGGAAATTTATTGGTATTCACTCCGTGGGTGTATACGGCTAGTGAAAGATAGGAAAAGAAAGAGAAAAATGAAAGATGTCACAAGTAATTTGACTCTACACGAAGAGAGAATGAGAGAAATGAGGTGAAAGTACTTTGCTGATGTGGCATGTGAAGGTGTATGAATATCTTGGCTGTCTTGTTTATATTAGTTATCACATAAAATAACTTCAAATGGACATGGGGGCTTGTTTCTTTGTTGAGTTATTTGTATGTTTTTAATTTTTCCTTCAATGATTCACATTTTTTCATCCTTCTTTCTGTTAGGTTGCTGACAAAATATTTGGTTATCTAAATTTCAGGCAACTATTGGTATTGACTTTTTGTCAAAAACAATGTACTTGGAAGATAGAACTGTTCGCTTGCAGCTATGGTAGGATGAATTCCTCTTCAAATATTTCATACAAACTTTGTTTTTATTTATATTTCAATTCTTATATTGGAGTGCACGTTACTGTGGCATAGCCTTGTTAGACAATTGTTTTTTAACAATTTCTGAGCTTATAGTTGTGTTAACTTCACAGGGATACTGCAGGGCAAGAAAGATTTAGAAGTCTCATTCCAAGCTACATAAGAGATTCTTCTGTTGCAGTTATAGTATATGATGTTGCTAGTGAGTTTTCTATGTTCTTTTATATAACATTTTAATTATCTAATTAACAGGATCTTTTTATGGATCTTTATGGATTTTCTCTTGACATAACTTTCCAAATTATTTGACCATGTAACTAAAAAAAGGGTTTTGTAGGACATGAATGCTTTCTTTAATATATGTAATTGTGTTTTGGGTGTGCTTGCTTGCATTCTGCCTAATTTTTTTAACTTATTATGTTTGCATGTGGTTTTGGATTTGGAAGAGCTTTAGTTTTCATTTTTCATATAACAATCAAAATTTAACAACCATTTATAACTATTTAACCTAGGCAAGCTGTTCTTATGCAGACAGGCAATCATTTCTGAACACTAACAGATGGGTTGAGGAGGTTCGTACAGAACGTGGCAGTGATGTTATCATTGTCTTGGTTGGAAACAAAACTGATCTTGTCGATAAAAGGTGAGTACTAATTTGGTCTATATGTTCTTTTTTTTCTTATATATAAAATCTGCTGATTGAATGTGTTAGTGGTTTTTTATTATCATAATGGGGTTTCCATATTATGTTTAGATCCTCTGTTCTAGTGTTTCCATATTCTGTTTCATCCCAAAACTGTAAAATTCTGATTGATTAAATATAATTTTAGGATGGCTTAAAATTGTCTTGGTATGAATTTTGCAAGCATTTGTAGTTACAAATAGCAGAAATCATAGTTAGTCCATTTACCAACAGGCTTGTCTCTTGTGTTTCCATTCGAGTATTGTGATTTTACCATCTGAAGTTTTCTTTACAAAGCCATTTTGATACTTACACAGGCAAGTTTCGATAGAGGAAGGAGATGCAAAGTCCCGTGAGTTTGGAATCATGTTCATAGAAACCAGTGCAAAAGCAGGCTTCAATATCAAGGTGAAAATTAGTGAACTTTTCAGTCATCCCAATATTTAGTTTACTAAATCATTCTTCTAACTTTCGATGCCGGTGATCTTTCATATCTTCGTATTGATGATCTAATATCTTCGTTCCTCAAATTTATCTTCTTTCACATGTTTGTTCTGTGCTCTTAATGTTTACTGTCAATGCAAAGTGCAGCCTTTGTTTCGTAAGATTGCTGCTGCCTTGCCAGGGATGGAAACTCTTTCTTCTACAAAGCAGGAAGACATGGTCGATGTAAATCTAAAACCCACAGTGAATTCATCCCAAACAGAGCAGCAAGGAGGAGGTTGCTCGTGCTAGAGAAGACTATTCTCAAAAGTGCTGATAGTAAGTAGTTCACTGAATATAATTCTGGGATTGGCTGCTTAAATGGATTAATGATGGTGCTGGAGGAAGCGTGCTTTCATAGCAATGATCCTTCAGTTTTTGGGTGGGGAGACAAATTGCAGTAGTAGTTTTGATGTACGACATATTATTCTTTTTATTTGTTATACAATTAGTCCCTTGATGTAAGAATACAGGTAATAAACAAGCTCTTCGAATTGTCCGCATAGGTTTATGGTTATACTTTAGAAATGCATAGTCTGTGTTGAAGGCAAGGAACATATAACCCTCCATCTGGCCCTTTTTCCTTTTTGGTGGCATCAGTGGTACTCTCCAAAGCTGAATTGCTTGGTTTGTAGAGGTGATCATGGATCTGTTTAACTCAAGACCCTACCGACCACTATTGTGAAATTGATTTTTATTTAAACTAAACTAAATCACATGATGAATTAGGATCCTAGGTTTTGATTTTATAAGCTTGCTTAGAGCTGAACTAATTTAATCACTAATAAATTTTTATTCTAAAACTATTTCATTGTAATATAATATTATCATATATTTTGGAGAAATTCTAATATAGGATAATGTTATTTCAGTAAAATTCATTTTAAAAAATTGTCACTTGATTCAAATCAAATCAACCTTGATAAGATTAAATTGATAGAAACTTGTTTTTTTCAGTCTCGATTAATTTAATTGGTATTGTTTTATCATTTGTACAGATGCTTACATATAGACATGTATGGTTATTATCCTATATTTCACACTCGGTGTTATAATTCTAGGAGTGTACTAGTACAATACTATTTCATACTTGAGTAAAGCTTTTAGTAGTACAATATTTATTAGCTAATGACAAGTCTATTATTACTATGTTTCAATGGATTATACCATACATCATAAGGTTTGTTGCATTAAAAGAGTTTCTTGAAAAACTGATCCTAAACCAAGAAAACTACTTGATAAATAATTTGAAAAACAGTCATTTGTTTTCCATTTGAGTTAAAGAAATTAAATTTGAGGTATGGTAAGAGTCATGTTGTAACATATTTTTGGGAGTTGGTAGATATACAATGTAGACATGATGTAGCAGCAATATAAGTAAGAGGGATGATCCAAATGAACATATTCGACGGAGGCATGCACATGCTTCATGTTGTTAGCAAAATATAAGCCCTGTTAATATACTACCACCAGATTTCAAAGAAAAAGGTCAGGCAGACCAATGTCAATGTACAATATGCCCACAACTTGAGAAGTTCCAAAAATCTCCAAACCACCTCGAAGGACAGTATGACCAGGATGTATAGTCATAATAATTGGCGCAACCACACTCCGAGGTAAATATCTTGTCATTATAGTCATTGATGTATATTTTTCTAAAACCTTTAACATATGAATTTTAAGATGGAAACTCGTGATATTTAATACAGAGGATGCTAAAGAAAACCCACCAAGAACGATTCAAACGTAGCAAGGAAGAAAGGAGTGGGCTACTGCCAATTTCACAAATGGTACATCCTAATATAATTTATTCTTATATATGGATTTGTATTATTAAAAGGATTATTGTTCAATCACCGATATTATCACCATCATATAAACTTTTATCAAGAAAATAGTTAATCACATTTAGAAAGTACAGTGTTTTTGAAAATTTCATTATTATAACTATTAAATAATATTTCTCATTGACATTTAACTTTACGTAGTCGTAATACTAACTAATAGAAATATAGGTGTGTCTACAATTTTTGTAAAATTTTATTTTATTTTATTTTGTCTCTCCATTTTTTCTTCACATATCATAACTTTTTCCTCAGTATATTTTCTATTTTTTAAAATATATAAATTATAATAATTATTTTTCTTTAAAATATAATATTTTTTACTCTTGATTAAAAAACAATTATAAAAAGAAGATTAGATCAAAGATCTTCATCTATAAATATTAAAATTCTTTCTCACATCTTAATAATCCTTAATCTTTAAATAAATTTATTAAAATTGTTTCTTGAGATAAACATTTGTGTTTTTTTTTTAAATTAGGCATCACAATTTTATTTTATTTTCACAGTTTTTGGGAAACTATTGGATTTTCCTGTTATTATGTGTACTTCAATTTCAACGATATGTTATTACGTCGTATACCCCGTCGCATTTCATTTCACTGTGACCAAAGAAGGCATGGCACCTGGCGGGACGGGGCGCTTTTTCTCGTTTTCATTTTTATCCGATTAGAAATTAAGTTTTCATCTTCTTTAGGCTTCGATTTCTCGTTCCCGCTCTGTCTCCAAATATTATTTTTTAAGAAGATAAATACATTTGTAATACATTAATTTTATTATCTATTTTTTATATATAACTAAATATTTATAATTTTATAATAAATAATTATTATTAATTAAATATATATTTTAATTTATTATATTTATATTAAAATACATATGTAAAAGAAATATTTAATTATTTTTTATTTATAATATTATTATTATTATAATATTGTATTGAAATATTTGGATATTTATAACATTATTATTATAATATTATACTTAATCATTTGATTATATATATAAGTTAATTCATGTTTAAGTTGTCATTTAAAAATATGAAATATATAATTTATAAAGAAATATTTAATAAGTTAATTTTTATTCAAGTAGTTTGAAGTAATAAAAATTTAAATTATCAATTCCTTTAATCCTTTGAAATACAATTATTTTATTAAGAGAAAATTTGATATATGATAAATAAGAATAATAAGATAAAAAAACATGACATAATAAAACCTAATAAATATAAATTATAAATAAAATAATATTAGTTACTACTAACATTTATGTAAAATATTTAGAAAAAGATAAAGAATAAAAAAAATTAACTTTGTATTCATTAAATTGGTTGAAAAGATTGAAATAAAAAAATTGATGGGAGCGATTAAGAAAATGTGAAGAACTGAGAAGTAAGAAAGAAAATAATGTAATAAATTAATTGATATAAAAGATAAAAAAAACAAAAAAATAAAAAAGTGAGTAGAAGGAAAATAAAAATTGGTAAAATATAAAAAAATGACCTTATATATAATAGAAAAAGAAATACTTTTAAAATATTAATATTTTAAATTTTAAATTTTAATATAAAGTCTGGGACGGGGACTGAGTCGGGTCGGGGTGAAGATTGTATTACCCATCTCCACCCCGATCAACTCGAGTTTTCTCCATTAAACTTAAAACTGGGACATATCCGTCCCCACATGTACAAGTTTTATTTTCATCCCTACACGAAAGTAACAACTCACCTAAAAAATCATCCAATTTGAATGTGAATCAATTTGGTCAAAAACCATTTTAAATCATGTCATGATTCTTGGATAATGGTAACTTATATGATTTATGGTGAATAATTTTATATTTATTATTCATTGTTCTTTGGAACTATATACAAGGAATAAAATTAAACAAGTTCATAGAAGTTGTCAAAAGGTACGTGTCTGCTTTGACATAAAACCTTGGCATTCCCAAATTTTGTTTTATCTAACTAGGCTGCTCGAAAGATTAAAATAATTACAAAAAGGTAGTTCATATAATAGAATAAAAGAATTTTGGTTCATAATTTGTGAATTTTTATTTTGTCTACCTGGTACGCATTAGACTATTTTCAACTAAATGTAGTTTCTACCAAAATAACTTGTTTAAAATTATTTGAGATTTATCTTTAATAAATAATAATAAAAGTTCCATCACTATATAGTTGTCAAAGTACATCGTCCATATCTTACTAACTTATTATTTTTGTGTTGGAGGGGCAATATGCCCCAATGCAAAAATAAAAAAGCTACGTGACAACTGTATGAAGCAAAGAAACATCATTCTCCGGACAAAAAAAAATGTTTTCTTCGACGTAAATGTTACGTGTCATTTTTAAAAAAATTATTTATTTATTTTTCAATAAAATTTCACATTTCCATTATAGTTTATATAAGGTCTACCTTGTAGTGCATCATGTGTCGTCATCCACCGAATAAATATTACGTGTATCACTCTTCTTAAACATTTTATACTCAGAAAAAGGAAACATTGTATACTCATCATAAACCGCAGAAGTTATATTAGAAAGCTAAAAATATTTTTAAAGTAAATCATGATATTATTTACATGTCGAACTCTATATGCTATATTTTACTTATTGAAAGAAATAAATGAATCCCTCACACTAATCTTCTTATTATTAAATAAACAAAATAATTTTTTTTTATATCTTCATGGCATGAGGTGAATTATTTTTATTTAATATAATTTGATAAATTAAGTTACATACTAAACACCCTACAGTTAGAAATTTGTTTGACCAAGGTTAGGCTAAATGTTAAAGCCGCCTAGACTACACGTGAAAAATACCATGACTCGACGTGCCGCGTATACAGCAACGGGGTTGTTCTTACTTTTAGGCCCACACCGGCCATGAATAGTGAGAAACCCACTTTGGCTATTAAGCTATAATAACAAAAGAAAGTTGGAATATTCTATAACTATAAATAAATCTAAACAACAAAAATCTCCTCTTAACAAAAACTCATAATTAATGAAAATAAAATAAAATAAAAGCCAACACATAAACCAAATCAGAATAGCTAATGTAAGTTTTATTCGAATATTTTAATGGAAAAAAATATAATATAAAAACAATTGAAAATGTGAACTTGAAACATTTAGATATTTTATATTTAGAATATAATGAAAATTAATTTATTGTACTTTTAATGTTCATATTCTAACTATGTCAATCTTATCATCTCTTACTATTATGATTTTAGTTTATCTTGTAATGAAAATACCCTTCAAAATGTTTAAAGAGAGAAATTAAAATAACCATATATTTGAAAACTAAGTAACACAATTGATTTAATAAATTAAAACTCTATAATTACAATATTTAATTATCCAAAATTAGTTATATAACTTTTTTATTATTTTTTAGTAAATATTTTAAAAAAGATATTATAATCAATATTAAATGGTAAAAACACTTTTCAAGAAAAAAATAACAGAACATGTAAAAACCCGTTAGTGTCTAATTATCGACAGAGAAATTAATCAAAAACAAGAATTCAACAGAGAAAAAACGTTTTCCGTACCTGTAAATTATTCATATTATTTAAATAAAGATGCACGGTGACACCAACCTCCAACGCTAATCTGAGAAGAAAAGCAGCATTGTAGATTCGGCGGTGGAAGCTATGCATCTCAAATATATTTCATTCCTGTCAACCCAGAAACGGTGAAAACTGAGTGAGACCCAAATCCTTTTCAAACCCAACCAAACTACTCCTACATTATACCAAACAAACAAAAGCCAACGACCACTACGAAATCTACAACAATGTCCCACTTAATCACACCACTGGAATCCTCCGATTCGTTCTTACCCGGTGGCCTGTTCCTACACACTCACACGCTTCCTTCCTCCTTCACTTCCTTCCTTCCTCCTTCTTCTACTTTTTCTGGCCCTGTAGCACTATCATCTTTTTGTGGGAAAAGAAGTTTGAGGGTGGAAGGTGGAATAGGTGGGGGCGCGTTCTTGTCGTTGAGTTTGTCCTTAAACGGAACCGGTGCGGATCAGAGGTATGGTCGAGAATCAGGTGAAATTCTGGGGCGACATCACAAGAAGGTGGAAGATGATGATGGTGTGTGTGAAGGGAAAGAGAAGGTTGAGATCAATGGATCGGGTGCTGTTAACATGACCAAACATCTCTGGGCCGGTGCTGTCGCTGCCATGGTTTCAAGGTCTTCAAAATAGTTCCTTTAATTTATACACTACCATCCTACTCACTCGCACGTTAGCTTTTGCTTAATTTTCACATTTTTCTGCACCTTTGCACTCAAGTTCCCTTACTACCGTATTTGGGCACTGCACTGGTTCTTTTGCGAGCTTGATAGGGATGCACATTTAGTGTAAAATTGGAACTTTTAACTAATAAAAACATTACCTTTGGTATTACTTTTAAGGCAGTTAGAAATGCAGCAACACGTTTCTAATACACTTTTTTAAATGAGTCAGAGTGTTTGGATTACCATGTGAACAGAATTTTTTAGTTTACAAGAAAGTGTTAGTAAGATTTTGTTATGTGTCACATGGAAATTGATTACTGGGACTATGGCGGTCTGAGACTGATAATTTCTTCTTTTGGTCACGTTCTTTATGTGATTTTGTAGTTATCAATAAATTGTAATAAATGAAGAGACTGAGTTATACTGGATGTGACAAAGAGAGTGTTATTAACACTTATCTTTAACTAATTGTTATAGAAGTCAACAATATATAATATATGGTGATTTATGATACAATGACCATTTAAAAACTTTATTATTCATTCTTCTTTCATTTATTATTTTTAAGCTGCTAAATAAATAGTTTTTTTTTAACTTCTTTAACTAATTTAAAAGCATTATGCATACTGGTGCAAATTTGTAATGTGGCTTATTCTATCAGGACTATGGTTGCCCCTCTGGAGAGACTTAAGTTGGAGTACATAGTTCGTGGTGAACGGAAGAATCTTTATGAACTCATTCAGGAAATTGCGACTACTCAAGGCTTGAGAGGTTTTTGGAAAGGAAATTTTGTGAATATTCTGCGGACAGCGCCTTTTAAGGCTATAAACTTTTACGCCTATGATACTTATAAAATTAAGCTGACAAGGATGTTGGGGAATGAAGAATCCACTAATTTTGAGAGATTTGTTGCGGGTGCTGCTGCTGGGATTACAGCTACATTGCTCTGCTTGCCCATGGACACTGTGAGTGAAAATTCAGGATCACGTTACTTATATTTGTTCTCTCTAGTGTTTACATTTTGAATTGTGATGCTCTGAGGAGTGTGGTAGGATTGGACTGGTATAACTTTATTGCTACTGTTTAAGTATACAGTTTCTTTCTATATGATATAATGGACATGAATTAATGCAGGCTTGTTTATGTGGTGTTTATAAACAGATTTGGTGCAATCGCCTAGGTCTAACTTATGCATTGACTTTGAATTTGCATGTTGCTAGCTACATTTCAATTCAATCTCTTTTAACTAGTACTTGACAAAACTAAAGAGGGCTAGTGATGTTCCTCTTGTCTACCTACCATTCTAAGGTGATTCTATGACTTTACTTGATGCTTAGTCCCAGTCTTATCTGCTCGTCAACTATGATTGTTTAGAGCTCTCAACATATGCGTGATAAACTTTTGGAAATTGTAAGCAAGTCTTTCATTCCCATCTTCCCTTTGATATATATGTTCCTCCATGATGCTTCTTGATGGTAGTCTAATTATTGTTAAGTAACAAAAGCTATGAAATTTTGATCATATTTAAGAAAACGGGAAAAAAGTACCCTTTAAGATTTTATTTGAATACGAAACTTTTCATGGTCTATTGCCACTTCACTCATGTGCACCTTGCCTTCAAAATTTGGAGCACTAAAAATGTCTTTCCCTAGAATTTCATGAAGCCTACTCAAAGAAACTTTTTCAACATAGTTCAATTCTATATTGAATTTTGTTGTACTTGCATTCTAAAGAGGGCTTCTTTTCTTTCAGATCAGGACGGTAATGGTAGCACCTGGTGGTGAAGCCTTAGGAGGTGTGATTGGTGCCTTCCGTCACATGATCAGAACAGAGGGATTCTTTTCTCTTTACAAGGGTTTAGTACCCTCCATTATCAGTATGGCACCTTCAGGTGCTGTCTACTATGGTATTTATGATATCTTAAAGTCAGCATATCTGCATTCTTCTGAAGGAAAGAAAAGAATCCAACGCATGAAAGAAGGAGCTCAAGAGTTGAATGCAATGGAACAACTGGAATTGGGTCCTATCAGAACTTTATTATATGGTGCTATTGCTGGTTGTTGTTCTGAAGCTGCTACTTACCCCTTTGAAGTTGTAAGGAGACAGCTTCAAATGCAAGTACGAGCAACAAGGTTAAATTCACTGGCAACTTGTGTCAAGATTGTTGAGCAAGGAGGTGTTCCCGCCCTTTATGCTGGGCTAATTCCTAGTTTACTGCAGGTATGACTTTTGTTATTGATAATATGCTTTGATCCATATTAGCTATTCTTTATATTTCACTAAACAGGTAAAATGAGTCTATGACGATTGAGCTTATGTCCAGTCAATGAAATGTTGCTTTTTAATCAATGCGTTAAGTGAAAAATGGCCAGGCATGAACTGTGGTTGGTTTCAGTACATTAGATGCAAACAACGACACTGCAATATTTACTATCACTTTTGTAAAGAAATTCTCAGAGCTATAAAGTTGTGCAATAAGCAAGATAAGGAAGGATAGACAACTTTTTTAGCTGAATTAACCATGTGCAGATTGGATCAACTGTTTCAAACCTTCCCAAAGTTCATAGGATGGACTTGTACACAACTTCCCTATTCTTTTTGTTTCACAATGTTGAGAGTTGATTTTCATCTTAGCCCATTTACAAGTACTTAGTACGGACAATTCTTTTATTGATGTTTTAATACGGTGCTCTACTTTTCAGGTGTTACCATCAGCTGCTATTAGTTATTTTGTTTACGAGTTCATGAAGATAGTTCTAAAAGTACAGTCAACATAGATGAGTATGACAGCTATACCAAAACTATATATATATATATATATATATATATATATATATATATATATATATATATTTCTCAGTCCGTCACCCTGTTTTTATCGGGTGTTGGAATGTGGTTGGATGTGGGAGGAATCAAGGGTCTCTCAAGAAAACTATTTCTGTGTGAATCTCTTACTGATTTTCTGCTGTTTACTCAAAAATAATCTGAAGAAAGAAAATGGAGGACTGGGACATGAAAAATATTGATGCTTGGTTAATTAGATTTGAATCTTGATGAAGCAAGTCCTTCAAACCAATGATATGATAGTTTATTTTTTGTTTTTGTATTTTAATATCAAGATAACTAACTGTTTATTATTTTTTTTTATAAATGTGAAATCCTTTATATACTATGTCAACTATTTGAGTGAATTTAGTTCGATTCATTAAACAAGATAAAACTATATTTTTTTTTTTACAAGACCCCACCAATGTGAGATGACTAAACCTAGAACTTTTATTCTAGTTTTAAGCCATGAATAATGGTTTTCCTAGTAAGCACTTGTTTTATTTTGAATTGTTTACATATTTAATATTATATTTCTTTTATTTTGTTTAGTGCATTCTAATTTTATACATTAAACACCGTATAATCTCCAAACAAAATAATTGAAAAAAAAATAACATGTGAAAAAAAAATTTGACAGACAGCGATAGGTTTTTTACCTCAGAATATTAATTTGTCATCGCATCCATAATAATAATAATATTTATTAGTTCTCTTTAAAATTATTATTGTTAATTTATTTTTGAAATTAATTTTTTTAATATAGGTAAAAATTAATTAAAATTATTTTTAGATTATTAATATACTAATTTTATAAAATAATTTTTGATTTTTTATATGTTAGGAGGAGTTGGTGTAAAAATCAGATTTGTTATTTATAAATGAACATTTTTGTACATAATTTTAGAAGAAAAAGATAAATTTAAATTTTCAAAAGTAGTAAATTAATTTATAAAATCTATTTCCCATCAGCTTTTCTTATTATTAAGTCAAGTATTAACTAATTGTAATGATTTTTTTATTTGATTTTACTTTGTTAAAGTATGTATTGAAAAGTTTCCTATGAACATGACTTATATATGTATCAATCCCAGTTTGAGCCCGGAAAAAAAAAAAATGTGAGAAGGTGCGAGGAAAGAGAGAATAAGCCAAATATGAGTCAAACAGAATCACACCATTGGCTTTTGAGGCTTTGACTTGGACAACCATTTCTATCTTTTTCTTCTCTTCTATTCGATGCAACTCAACACGATAACGCTTTCACAGTCTACAACTTCCCGCGTTGAAAACTTTTCTTTTTTCCTTCATTGGCCACACCCTCTGAACACCCATTACACTCTCTCTCCGCGTTAAAATTCACCTGTCAGAACTTTCCTAGTTATTACAATTTATACATACATCCCAGTACACCACAAAGCTTTCTTTTTGTTTTGCCTTTGATTTTTTTAAAGAAGGGACTTCTCTCCCAGTTCTGGTTTACTTTACTGGTCCAAATAAAAAAAAAAGTAAGGCATTGAGTTCTGCTTCTCACTTCCATGGCTGAGGTCAGACACTACGTTCTCCCCTCTCAATTGGGTCAGCTTTTCTTTACCTTGCATTGCCCTTTCATTACTTGACATTCGCAAAATTCAAATTCTGAAGAAAGAAACCTTTTTTGAAAGTACCCATGCTAGTGAAGCATTGAAATGCTACTCCTTTAACGCAAAATTCAAGTTACCACTGTTATTTATTGTTGTTGACTTTTTTTTTTTTTTAATTCTATGTTTTTTATGGACATAGATATTAAGCAAATTATTGTAGAAGCACAGCATCGATGGCTGCGTCCGGCTGAGATTTGTGCAATTCTCAGCAACTATACGAAGTTTCGAATTGCTCCAGAACCTGCTCATTTGCCACCAAGTATGATTTCTCTTGTGCCAAAAAGTTGTCTTAGTTTCTCAATAGTTTGATTTTAAGAAAAGGATTTATGAAAGTGTTGTTGTTTTCTATTTGAAGGGGAAGGTGGAGTGTTACGTTTTTAATCTAGTAGCAATTTATATCTTATGGGAACTGAGACATGCATGAAAACTTGACACAATTAAGCCCTGTATCTCATCCATGTTTCAATAAACTTATCTGTAAGCCCTTGACTGCTCCGTATACCATTGTAGAAGAACAAAGTAAAAAGAATGAAATTGAACTCCTTTGTTGCTAAAATAAACTTATGCATAACTTTAAGAAGTTCTGTCATATAAATTCTCTAAAAGCTCAAGTGCATAAATTAAAATGGAGAAGCTCAAATCATTTATAGAGAAGTTTATCGAAATAGAACCTAATTGCAATAATGCGCATCCTCAGGTCTTATCATATTTTTTCCTTGACATTAGGTGGTTCACTCTTCTTATTTGATCGGAAGGTGCTTAGATACTTCAGAAAGGATGGCCATAACTGGAGGAAGAAAAAAGATGGAAAAACAGTAAGAGAAGCACATGAGAGACTAAAGGTAAATTTACTGCATCTAAGGTTTAGAGTCTTAAGCACTTTTACAACTCACATCTATCTTGGCACAAGATGGAAAACAAAGGTGCTGTAGGCTTTAATTCTGTCATTGAAGTTAATTATACTTTAGGAAGAATGTATTGAGAGTCTTTCTTCTATTTAAATATTTGCACTGATTGAGGCATGATACCATGCTCTCAGGCTGGAAGCGTGGATGTGTTGCACTGCTACTATGCTCATGGAGAAGAAGATGAGAATTTTCAAAGACGCACCTATTGGTTGCTTGAAGAGTAAGTGTTTAAGTTTAATATTTCAAAGTTTTACTATAAAAATGTCCCTCTTTATTTATCTTTATTTGCCTCATTCTTCTCTTTGTATTCTTCTCACCTCCAATTCCTAAAATTCTTCCTGTACGTGTTGATCTATTGTATTGGTTAAAATTAATTATAATAGGCTTCTAGAAATTGCTAATTTGTTTTCTATGGCTCTTGTCTGTGGAGTTAGCTCCATTTCTTCTCACCCTTTTTATTCAACGTTGTTGCAGGGAACTCTCTAACATTGTTCTCGTTCATTATCGACAAGTGAAGGTAACGTGTTAAGATGTTATTAGTATTTTTTGCCTAGTTTTTATTTGATAAAAGCTCAAGAAGAATAGCTTAGGTTTCCATGTCCACTAAAATTAAGAGAACAACGAACTTGTAGCATATAACTGGGTTGCAGAATTATATATTAATTAGGAAAGCAAAACATGGAAATTCCATCATAACTTCAGCATTATATTCCCTCAAATGATGTAACTAGATTTTCCTAAACAGCTGGCTGGCATTGTTTTCTTAAGTTGCTCTGATAAATTTCAACACCATAAGACTTTCTTGGATGCTTGATGCTATAAATCAGTATTATTTCTTTCTAAGACTATGCACAATTCTCTCTTCCCTCATCTAGGATGTTTACTTTCTACTTTGATCCTTAAAGAATAAAAAAGGGTAGCATTTTTTTTTTCAGGAGTGAATTTTTTGAACTATGTGCAATGGAATATAATCGTGATATACTATATCTTCCCATATGTGAATATTTTCACTTTTCCTTTCACTCATTTGTCTTGTTCCAAATGATCAGGGAACCAAGGCAAACTACACACGTGCTAAAGAAAATGAAGAATCTCTTCCTTATGCTCAACAAACTGACAAAATTATGCCCAAAACAGAGTTGGACACTTCCTTATCGTCTACTCTTCATCCACTTGGTTACCAGGTTCTTTCACGAACTATGGATACAAGCATGACCAGTGCTCAAGTATCAGAATATGAAGAAGCTGAATCTGGTACTTCTTTTGCGGCGCATTAATGATCAAAATGTTATGTTTTCAATTTTTCATATCTAGATTACATTTTGAGTAGCCTTTTTAATGCCTTTGTCCTCCAGTGTCACTTTTTCTTGTGTATTCATTTTTTTTAATTTGGTGTAATTTTTACAAAACTCAATAGCCATGCAAGTTCTGAGTTTCATTCTCTCATACGCCCGGTTGACAAGACTATAGATCAACCTACTAATTTGTATTCTCCTCGGCCACTCATAAGTAAATTTCTTCCTTTTTAAATTGTTTTTATGAATTTATCTTTGATGCTTTGTGACTGTAAACTTAGACTATAACGCAGTCATACATTGTCTATCACTGAAGAGTATAACTTTTGAGGTAATTATAAACCTTTTAAAATGATGTGACAATGCCCGATTGCATGATAGTGTAAACAAATTTTTGCTAATGATGCATCAAAATGAATACCTTGTTTTATATTTTCCATACATACTAGTCTTTTGATCAGGAAAGTCCGTATCTAACATGACTTGTATTATTAAAACTGGGACAGATGACCGAGAGAAGTTACCTGCCATTGCTGAGGTGAATTATAGCTCATACACTCAAAATCAAAATATTATAGATATTCATAATGTTGGATTGACATATGAATCCCCAAAACCCCTGGGCTTTTCCTCATGGGAAGATATCTTAGAAAATAATGGTGGAAGTCAACACGTGCCTTTTCATTCTTTATTTCCTGAAACACAACCTGATAATATGGGAGTCAATAGAAATTTTTGTCAAGGAGATGACATAATGGTGCCACAATTGACCACCAACATTGCTAAGCTGCATGACAATGAAAGTCTCGTACAAGCTGAAGGAAGTTGGCAGGTATTGTGTACTAGTACTATTGGAACTTCATCTGCATGTGGGGTTTGTTGCAATGTTTAATGACGTATAATAATATTAGTTTTAAAAAGTATCCAGGCTCTGTATGTACCGTAGGAGCTGACAGGGTATTATATATTTTGTCAAAAGTCAAAAGACTTGAAACTAATATGTCACGACAAAATGATATTGGTATGATGCTAAAAATAATGTTGATTTCTTAATTTCCTGTTTCATGTTTCTGTGGAAAGCAGGCAATGGATTTTGCTTTTTGCGTGACTAGTAACATGTAACTTAATTTTTATTTCTTTCCTTCAAACTCATTTAATTGATTAATTTTTTATCATCTCTTTTAGCAGGCTTATAGTGTTGATTCTTTACGCATGTCCAGTTGGCCTATAGATAGTGTCCATTCAAGCTCAACATGTGAGGTTAGTTGTAGGAGCTGTGAGCAGGAAGTTAATGAAGTTTATTTTCAGAAATCATTGGAACAGTGTCTTCTCCATCCACACAAACAAAACAAGGCTCTCATGCTAAACGATCATCAAGAGATACTGCTGAATACAAAAGAAAAGCTAAAATCAGATTTTGAGGCCAACAGAATCCTTGATGGAATAGAAGACACTCGTTTCACCTTTAAAAGGACCCTGTTAGATGGATCCCCAGCAGAAGAGGGTCTGAAAAAGCTTGACAGTTTCAATCAATGGATGAGTAAAGAGCTTGGAGATGTGGAAGAGTCAAATAAGCCATCCACTTCTGGTGCTTATTGGGATACAGTTGAAAGTGAAAGTGAGGTTGGCAGCGCAACCATTCCTTCCCAAGGGCACCTGGATACCTATGTATTGGATCCATCTGTTTCCAATGATCAGCTTTTTAGCATTATTGACTATTCCCCAAGCTGGGCATTTGAAGGGTCAGAAATTAAGGTATTCTATTTTGATATTCTGCACTCACTATCAGTTTCGATCATATGTTCATTGAATTGTTGTGGTTACCTTTTTACTTTTGCCAGTTATGTTCTGATTATTTATTTCTCCACTTGTGAAAAAAAATATTGTATAGGTTATCATTTCTGGACGATTCTTAAGATGTCAACAAGAAGCAGAACAATGTAAATGGTCATGCATGTTTGGCGAGGTAGAAGTGCCTGCAGTGATACTTGCAAAAGGTGTTCTTTGTTGTCATACTCCTCCACACAAGGCTGGGAGGGTACCTTTCTATGTAACTTGTTCCAATAGGTTAGCATGTAGTGAAGTGCGAGAATTTGATTTCCAAGTCAACTATACTAGAGAAGTCAAAACTGCAGGGGACGATAGAGCCAGCACTTTTGATACTTTCAGCAGACGATTTGGAGAATTGTTGTCACTGGGGTATGCCTTTCCTAAGAATTCAGGTTCAATCAGTGGAAATGAGAAATCTCAACTGAGAAGTAAAATCAGTTCTTTGCTAAGGGGGGAGGATGATGATTGGGACAAGCTACTGGAACTTACTCTAGAGAAAGATTTTTCTCCAGAAGATTTACAGGAGCAGCTGCTTCAAAATCTTCTGAAAGATAAGTTGCACGCATGGCTCCTTTGGAAAATTACAGACGATGGGAAAGGCCCCAATGTATTAGATGAGGGTGGCCAAGGTGTGCTTCATTTTGCTGCTGCTCTTGGCTATGATTGGGCCCTAGAACCCACAATAGTTGCTGGTGTAAATGTGAATTTTCGTGATGCAAATGGATGGACTGCTCTTCATTGGGCAGCATTTTGTGGCAGGTGAGCACTCTCCCTGTGGTATGAAACATATTTGGTCAAAATTGAATTTATAGTTTTAATACCTGAAACTACATTAACACAATAGGTTGGCTCACTGATACCCATTGCAACTTTGCAAGAGTGATTGTACGTGAGAAAGAATAGATTAGTTCCAAGAGAAAATATGTAAAATGACCTAAAAGTAGTTCAAATGCTCGTACTTGCTGATACTGAATATGCTTCATCATAGGGATATAATATGATATAATATGCTTGGAAACATCTTTTGTTATGAATGAGAACATCTAGGATAAATTGACTAGAAAAAATTGATATTGTTAATGCTTGGAATTTCATTTTCATTTTCTTGTGCCTTACGTTATCAGGGAGCGCACAGTTGCTTTCATCATCTCTCTTGGCGCAGCACCTGGATTACTGACTGATCCATGTCCAGAACATCCTTCTGGCAGAACACCAGCTGACCTAGCTTCTGCAAATGGACATAAAGGAATTGCAGGGTATCTTGCAGAATCTTCACTAAGTGCACACCTCACAACTCTTGATTTGAACAGGGATGTGGGAGATCATTCTGCAACAAAAGTAGTGAAAAGAATCCAAAACATTGCCGAAGTCAATGATCTTGATGGTCTATCATATGAACTGTCACTAAAAGATTCACTGGCTGCAGTGTGTAATGCCACCCAAGCAGCGGCTCGTATTCATCAAGTTTTCAGAATGCAATCATTCCAGAGAAAACAACTGAAGGAATATGGTGACAACAAATTTGGAATATCTGATGAACGTGCTCTTTCACTTGTAAAAATGAATGTGAAATCACACAAGTCTGGACCACGCGATGAGCCTGTCCATGCTGCTGCAATTCGTATCCAGAACAAATTTCGCGGTTGGAAGGGCAGAAAAGAATTTTTGATGATTCGACAACGTATAGTAAAAATTCAGGTACATTTGTGTCTAATGTGTGCTTATACCTTTCTAGGCCTTATGCTATGATCATTTGTGGAATTTATTATGGGTGTTGAATGTTGGATTTTATTGTCCTTCTGGCTCCTATTAAATGTATCCAATTTGCAACGTGTCTATTTCCATGATTATAGGCTCACGTGAGAGGACACCAAGTTAGGAAAAACTGTGGGAAGATAATTTGGTCTGTTGGGATATTGGAGAAGGTCATTTTGCGTTGGCGTCGAAAAGGTAGTGGTTTACGAGGATTTAAATCAGAAGCCAATTCTGAGGTTAATATGATACAAGACGTATCTTCCGCTGAGGATGAGTATGATTTCTTGAAAGAGGGCAGGAAGCAAACAGAGCAAAGGTTGCAGAAAGCCCTAGCTAGGGTGAAGTCAATGGTTCAGTATCCAGAGGCAAGAGATCAATACCATAGGCTGTTGAATGTGGTAACTGAGATCCAAGAAAATCAGGTATTTTATACTCTCCCACTTGCTTTAAATCAATTTCTCTTTATCACACCGGTAGTTTTAATATTTGACTCTTCTCCAGAGTAACAGTAAAGTTGTTTGAGTTGTTCAAGGAAATACCAGTAGTTAATATTTTAATGAATTAATTTTACATGTAATATTGACAGTTAATTTTTAACATCAACTATTGATATTGCTAAAGAGCCTTAAATGGAACGTAAGCTCGATCCCGGGATTGAATTCCCTCGTATGTTGGGTTGGCCACTGTTGTTAGGAGGTTATACATAGTTTTTTTGAAGTACACGAAATCACCCTCGTAGTGTAAACTTGAGTCGTTGTCTTTCTATGCTGTCGAAGGACAAAAACAAGGGCAACAAGAATGTAAAGTTTAGGTGTCTTCCATTTCTTTCTCACACCTTGACCTGTTGCTGAGTTCCTAGAGCAAAATAAACTAGCAGGATTTTGTGTTTATTCTTGTGGCTAGTAGTAAAGCTCAGACCTATTGTATGTCTTTGCAGGTAAAGCATGATAGTGGTTGTAACAATTCAGAATAAACAAGAGACTTCAGTAACCTCACTGATCTTGAAGCATTGTTGGACGAAGATATTTTCATGCCTACAGCAACTTAGGAGCTAGCTTTTAGGGTCAATTGTATGGCTTATAATTTAACAGTAGAGTTAGGTGACGAACTGTCTTATTTTGATGGTTATAATAATCTTAATTCTAATTCTTTTTTTAGTGGTTATTTGCAAACATTTCACTTAAAAATGTATAACCATTAAAACCATCCTTATAAACAGAGCCTTTTCTCTCTATATTTAAATTAAAAAAAAAATAGATAAAGGGAAGAAAAAGAGGATATATTAAAAAAAACATAGAAATCAACTATTAATTCCATTTTAGTTACTTAGGTTATGGATAATGGTTACAAACGCAAAATCGACACAAGATTTCCCTGTCAAATGCAGAAACTTGCAATGCATTTATCTTTTGTCAGTATAAAGCCTATATGAAGGTTTAAGTTTAAAAAAGCTTACTTTAATCAATCAGAAATCATCTGAAGATAGCAGTGTAAATTACTTTACTCTTTGAAAACATTCTAGTTAAATTTTAAATGAAATTATGAAGCCGAATTTTCAATGCATGTAAGGAGGAACCAGGGTTGTCTTAACAGTTGCATAATGTTAACGGAAATTCACAAAAATAGATTTGGAACCTATTCGGAACGGGGCGACAATAGCAAAAGTTTTGCTTTTATACGCGAATTATGTTTACTGAACCCCCACAAGAATACCTACCTGGAAACTAAGAGTTCGTCAAATTATTAAAAAAAAAAAAAATCGAAAACGAGTTAGGACCAATATCCATTTGTTTCTAATGTTGGTTGGGCGTTTGCAACCATGAATACACATCGTTGGTGAAATTTTCACCCGATATATATACTGTTCTTATTGTGAGAAAGAGTAAAAAGAAAAAAGGACAGTGCTAACACTATCCACTGTACATGCCAACCACCTAAGTATAAATTTTCACAACCCGTATCCTCTGGGGGATGTAACAGCCCCCCCCCCAACAGGTTGAATAAAGGGAAAACGGCAGAAAGGAACATAAATATGGAAACCTGGTGAAAAAAGTCCAAATGATTACCGAAGAGTTGTAGAACTCCTCCATCTAATTTCTGTTACCAGAGCCAAGGCTCTCATAGAACAAAATGTACCCATGGTCTGTATTACTTGAATATTCCTGTGATGATCCAAAGAACGTCTGCACAGCAGATTCGTCAATCATCTCTACATTTTCGTCATCAAAAAATAACCAGTGGTTATGGCTTTTCACAAGGCTGACATAATGCCCATGGTTGGGTCCACTCCCAACATGGACAACTACCGCAAATAGAGAATACTCTATATCTGCATCTTCAACAGTGTTACTCAGCTTTAGCTCCAGGGGAAAAACAACCCGATAAGACAGCTTCTTGTAGCGGCCAAGCTGTTCCATGTACTTAAACCGCTTAAGATGGATGACCAAGATGTGAGGTGGTTTTTTTATCTTCATCCTCTTCTGAGCTTCTTGCAAACTAATACCATAAGAAAGATTACATCTTGGACATCAGTGTTATGAACGGACATGAAAAACAAAAAGAACTGAGAGGATAAGGCTCGATTGCTGTTGCTCTTATTAGATAAACAAGCATCAGATTAGTTCAGCTATGCGCATGATTCAAAAAGGTCGAACAGGTAATTACAGAAACAAAAATTTGTGCCAAAAGCCATATATACCTGCAGCACTTGTCACAAAAAAATTTGTCTTCAGCATGCAGTGTCTCAGTGGAACTGAAATTTTTCAAACAGCTTGTAATTGAGCTGTTCTGCTCAATATCAAGACTCAAATCTAAAAATGTTTCATCTCTATCTGTCACTGTTTCACATTGCAAGCACCTTGTCTCATTGGTGAGTATTCCCTGATCAGACCAAGTTACAACAATAAAATTCCACAAGATAGAAGTAAAATTCATTTACAACACCACTCTCTCCCCACAGTAAAAATAAATAAAAAGCAACGAGTGAAATTACAATTTTTCACATTGTTTCATAATAAAGTTCATCTATAGTCTATAATAAATTAATAGTATCATAGAATATATGCACAGGTTTCCATTATACTTCACATAAAAGCCAATATGAATGGATTATCCATAAATGTAAGAAAGATAAACTAGTAAATAGCAATACATGCCCACTTAAAAAAGAGATGCTAATTGACTAACCCAACAGAAAGTTAGCTATATCTGGCCCCTCTTATGTTGCCGGCAACATGCAAAATGATGAAAACATTGAATTTGACAAAGCAAGGCCCACCTGAAAATTTTTGTGTACCCAAGTAACTAATGGTTCTTTGTGAACACCATTAGCTTGAGCATTTTTGGGCCCATTAACAGCCTTTTCAGAAGGTGGTGAGGTCTCCTGATCAGTTTTAGCAGCTTGACTCTCTTTCTCCAGAATGTCAACAAGTTCATTCAGCAAAAAGTTCAAGAATTCGTGGGCATCCTACCATAAAGAGAAGATCCACAAAAACAATGTTGTTTAATGAAAAAGTTCAACAACACAAGAGGCATTATGCAACCAATGAAACATGTTTAACAGATAATAACAATCCATGAGAAATAACAAATATACAGCACACTGAGTTTGGTTACATTTATAATAAACAACCTCATTCAAAAATAACAAATTGTCATTGTACAAACTCAGTTAAAATCATTTCCACAGATGAACACTCAACATGAATCACACAATTATTAACTCACAAGAGAAGAGGAAAAAACTAATAAGCCGAAGCACCATTTAAATATCAGTTATATACAGTCAAAGCATGACTAGACATAATAAAGTACTGGTCCAAAATGCCAAAATAAACAAGAATTGTTCTAGCATGCTTCCCATAGGACATATAATAGGAATCCAATTCAACATGTACACGCTCCAGTTCACGTATACAAAAAGCCCAAAAATATACAGGCAACTGATCATTTCAAATTAATATTATGACAAATAGTTCGAAAGAATTTCCTGTTTATTAAAAGATATTCATACCAAGTTCAAGTGTACAAATTGTAAACCTAAAAATTTGGTCCAAAACAACTACACAAGAAATATTACAAAGGTAACACTTATAAGCTGCAACTTAGGGTCAAGGGCATGTGCGTAAGATGCACATAAACATAGCATACTTCATAATCAGGGGCAAACATTTATTCAATACAAATATTACTGTAAAAAAAAATTTAAAGTTTTTCTAAAATAATCACCTTTCTGCTCAGGAAGCTCAATATTGACAGTTTAAACTCATACCTGGTGCATATAGCTTCTGAAGAGTTCATTCTGTTTTTTCAGCCTCTGCACAAATCGTTTGGGAGCAACAACGCCAGTTTTTTTCTTCTGGGAACTTATCTACACCAAAAGAAATAAATATGTTACATTTACAACCAGGAAAGAAATAAATAGGTATGCATATGCCATTAAAATTAAATGGCCATTTGATTCACAAAAATAATTAGTAAATATTATTCAGGATATACAAAATGTAGATACTTACAAAAAAACACTACAAATAACTCGAAGCAAGTTCTCCGGCATAATAGATAGCCCATTAACTAGACTTGAAAATGACTATTAAATACCAATTTGAGACAATGAATTGGACAAAAATGTGATATATAAGATGGAAACACTTACAAAAGCACGCCTGAAATAGCTTAAAGCCATTTCTCAAGCACACGTAATACATATACACTCAAGCACACATAATACATATATACTCAAGCACACAAGAAGATTTAGGAAAGCACACAATTACCTAGACCAATTACAGGTAACTTGAAGGCAAGGAGAAAGGGATAAAACAAATAAAAAATGGGCCAAGTGCAGATAAGATTAAGAAATTTCTCAGATAAAAGTAATAGCATTTATACTAGAGGATGTTTTAAAATAAAATTTAGATAAGCATGGGATCCATTATGTCCATTCCATGTCTCTTAAAAAAGAACAAGCGGAGACAATAAAACAGCTAACAACAAAAATGTCAGCTAGATATATTTATAAGTGGGTAGTCATGTTTGATAAACTTCAACTGATCAATATAATAAAACCCACAGTAAGCTTTGCAAGGAGAAACTGAGGCAAGAAATAAATCAAAATGTAGATTTCTATGTTACAAAAACATCTTTCATCAACATGCTAAAGTCCTCCATACAATGATTAAAAAAAGGAAATCTATGAAGAACAACAAGTGCTTAACTGTGGTCACGAGAAGAAGATTTTGCAGTAAATGGTGAAAAAGGATTTATCCCAGTTTTCTCAGAGTTATCTATTGAATGGGCAATGATATTAAAGAATGTGAAATTAAAAAAATTAGTAACCAATTTCATTAGAGAAAGCACAGTTACGAATCCAAAAACTAGAGATAAAAAGAGCCACAATAAGGCATTCAAAGAAAATAAAATGAAATTGTATCATATGATCCAATAAATGAAGAATCAAACAAATCTAGGAAATCAACAGCTCCTTCGATAAGAAACCATGCCAAGCAATACAGCCACAATTAGTGAAGACGGTACAACTTTCAAATGGTGCATAATGCTTGACCCAATCAAATATAAAAAGACTTAAAAGGCATAAGCATGCAATGCCAAGAAATTCTAAACTACAGATTGATTACCTGCGAAAATAAATCCGCCAAACAAGTTAAAAGATTTTCTTCCCCATCCAATATGCTTTTGTTATTTCCATAATACTCTAGTAATTGTTCACGAAAAGGAACACAAAAATATAGTGCCTGTACAAGGTGGCAAAACATGAAACTTGTTAGCAAAAACCCCTAAAAACCTTGACAAAAATAACAAAGTGACAATCTTCAAGTATGGCCTCCTGGCACTTCAAATGCCCTACTGATATTTTAGATATGATAAACATATGGAGTACAACAATGGAGTACAACAAGCCAGCAACTTTGACATTGACGTATGCACCTAAAGAGACTCCTGATAATAGTGTTGAATGAAATGCATAATAGATTGTACAGTAAATCCAACTTTAAATTTTAATAAAACTAGGAATCATTTATAACAAAAATCCAGCTGTTATAGAATCCCCTGAACAGATCAACAGGGTATCCAAAACAATGATATGGATTAAAATACTAAATTCTCTTTACGATACATTCGAAACTGCAACTAAAACAACTATAACAGAAAACGAAGAATCCACCACTTGAAACCAAAAAAAAAAAAAAAAGATGCAGTAAAGATTGAGTATAGGCAAAAAAATAGAACGAAAAATGAAAATTCGTAAATCGGATTGAAGACCTGCAAGACGCTGTTGCAGTAACAAGTGTTGCCGAAATTCTCGAGCCCGAAGTAACGTTCTCCTTCGGGGAATTGGTCACCAAGAGCCTTCTCAAGCTTGGAGCCCGCAGCACCCATGACCGCTTCAACCGATCACAAACTCAGATTGTTATCCGATTCAACTCGTGACTCGTACCATGAAATGCTGAATGGCCGTTTGGATCGTTAGGGTTTGTCGCAGAACGAACCTCTTTCTGGTGTCAGACTTTCTCTGTAGATATGATAGCATGAAATGAGACAAGGGTTTCCCGTGAGAGAGAAAGAAATGAACAAGGACCAAAATGCAGATGAAAATTTAAGGAGGAATTAAGGAAAAATAATTAAGCAAAGAATGGATATGTTCTGACATTTTTTTACTTTTATTTCTCTGTGTTTCTTTGCAAAAATACTTCAAATTTATCTCAAACATTTCAATTCAAAGAAAAAACAACAAATACGAGTATGGTTGAAGAAAATAAACACAAAGTAATAACACTTTTCTTCGGTGGTAAAAAATTTGGTAATAATTAATTAGTTTGTAAATATATATATATATATATATATATATAATACAATTTAAGAAGAATTAAGAGAAAGATAATTTATTAATATTAAAATAAAATATGTGTTTGATTTGTAAAAATGTATTTAAAGGACATATTTTATACTACATTCTTTTGTTTATGAAACTTATAAAATTATTTTATATTTTGATACATTTTCAATATTTGTCGTTCTGAATTCAAATATTGTTTCAAAACTATTATAAGAAGATTACATGTACAAATTAAAACACAAGAGCAAAACTGTTTCTAGAGAAACAGAACTATGAAAATTTTAGCTTAATAATTAATTTTATTCTTTATCAATGATTTTGACTAATAAAAAAATCTTCATGATTGTTATTGAAAACCATTAAAGAAACAAAATGAGAAGAAGAAAAACAGCAGAAAACAATTGAATAAATGAAAAGGTATACCTATGTTTATTGATTACAATCCTTATGAAAATAATTATTTGTTTTCACACAGAAAATTCTAAGTTCATGGTTGTATAAATTTTTTATTTAATTTCATTGAAAAAATAAAAATGATGAAAAAATCCATAAAAATAATAATAATTTGATTTTAATTAGAGCATTAATAATTACATGATTGAGAAAATTTCTTTTATTTGTTGTAATTTGTAAAAATATAAAACAAAACTCCTGTAAGAAAGATGCATGGTATATAATAAATGGAAGGAGATAGATTTTCTCTCCGACTATACTCCCAATGACCCACGCAACCATATGCACGCACGATGACGGATGAAAAATTATATGTTTATGTTTTGATTTGACTCTAAATTTATAATGTCTTGAAAGTCAAATTTGAGAAAGGTACTTTGTAATACATATGTTCGTATAATTTTAATTTCATGTCTATTAAAGGAATTTTACACTGAGAAATTTGGTGGAATTTATTTTGACAAAATATATGGACCTATAATAGATGTGTTAAATTAGATTGGATCAAAATTATATATATATATATATATATATATATATATATATATATATATATATATATATAAAAGACATATAAAATATAGTACTTCAAATTATTTTTATTATTCGTTACAAATAATTTTTAAAAATATAAAATTATTTCTATAATATTATTAAAAGTAATCACTATATACATGCGTTATTGTATATTTCTCTTTTAAAATAGGTATAAAATATACATTATCTTCCTCTAATTAAAAAAATAATAATAGATGTTATTAATGACTTTGTCAAATTTATTAAAATAGTATATTTAAAATTCAGTCTTGGATATTAAAGTAAATGATTATATAATTATTTATTTCACTCTTAAATATTATTTAAATTTTATGTGCATTTTGTTTTATTAAAAAAGGTGAAAGGGTAAAAGTAGTATAAAACCCTCATCTTTGTACTTATTTACAGTATTAATCATACATAATTATGGTAAAACAAAAAAAATAAAACCTTTTGAATGTCAATTCAATTTTATACTTATTTTTCATTTACTAATTTAAGGGATAAAACATCCTTAAGTTAATATACAAACAAAAATAGTTTCAACATCTTTTAAGCATAATTAAGGATTAACACTTGATCTGTAAAAAATAACTTAGTTTGTAAAGAAAAAAAAAATATATATATATATAACTAGTTTATAACTTAGTTGTTTTTAAAGAAAAAAATATTAAATTAATCTTAAGCTTTGTGAATTTAGGACTCCATAAATATTATTTCATGGTAATGAAAAATATAACTGTCTATTTTCAATATGAGTAACGTGAAATCCAACATTAAGACAGCAACATTTTAATCAAATAGATAAAATAAAATCATATCTTTTATTTCTGCAAAATAAAAAGTTCATAATTAATTTTAATATTTACAACAAAGTTTTAAGTATTTTCATGATGAATGTATAAAATAATAAGAGGTGTTGAAATTCTTATAAATAAAAATAAAAAAGTAGTGAAACACATGTGAAGATTTTTTGAGGGAAGTAAAAGATAATATCTAATTTTTTGTCTAAACAACTTTTACACTTATCTTGACAATAATCTTATGAGTTTTTTTCGTAAGAAAGTTTTTTGAATGCACAGTTTTGGGATAAATTTACCATATAAGATTATTTATAAATAACAAAATTTTTAAATTAAGAGATCAAATATGAAAATTGTTCTAAATTTCAATATTAAAAACATAAGCATAAAATCAAACAACTGTCTCTCATTTGTTTAAAATAATTCAAACAAGTTATTATAAAAAAAATGATTAAGATAAATTTTTTTGAAATTAACAACTTAATAATATTTATTTTTCCCCTGTTGCAAATATTAGTATTATTTTATTTTCCCCTAATAGGAGAAATAAGACCGGGGTAACGCATAAAAGAAGATGAAGTTGGATCTTATCTGCAACACTCTGCATTGTATCCACTTCACTGGTTATAAGAGAAGAGAGAGAATGTTGAGTCTCTCTGTTTCTCCACCTTCTTCTTCAACCATAAGCTTTCTCCCAAGACCGTTACCATTCAAATCTTACTTCACTGGCATTCAGCTCCGTCGCACTGCCACATGCTCCGTTCCACCCACGAAACACACCGCTTCGGTGCCGGTGGTAATGATGTCTAAGAGGGTGGAGGAATTGAAGGAAATTAGACAACTCACCACCGAACAAATCAACGAAGAGGTTGTCGACCTTAAGGGCGAGCTTGTCATGCTTCGCCTTCAGAAATCCGCACGCAACGAGTTTAAGTCCAGCGAATTCGGTCGAATGCGCAAAAGGGTATTTCGTTTTTTATTTCGACTTATATTCTTTTTCTTAATTTTTAGGCTAATTCTTTTGTCTTGTTATGATTTTGATTACAAGCTCCTTTGAACTCAAAATAAGATAATGTGCATACGGCAATATATTTTCTTTTCTTTGTAACAAGCTAGGACTTTGAAAGTTTGTGAGAGAGCTTAGTTTGGTATTCTCTGCTTTAATTATTAAATTAACTAGTGTGATTAGCTTGAGAATTTTCAAATTGCACTTGCAATTTGTCCCAGTACTTGATATTGCCGGAAATCGTCTCAGTTCTTGATATTGAGGGAAATTATGAATTAAGGTGGCCAATGGGGCCTCAATTTCGGTTGTAGTGATCCTTTTTGTAAAACCTTCTTGAGTGTTAGCTCCACTTGCCCTTTGTAAATAATAGAGAAAAGAAGCCTTGATCCATATCCTGTTTCCGATCTTTTCTCTGTCTGTTAGGGTAAATTTTGAAACTAAAAGGGAATTTCATCTGGTGCAACATTGAGATGAACATTGGAATGTGGAAGGCAATGTGAAAGGCTTTAAATCTGTAGTAATTCAAGTAGTGCTTGGTTGAGCTTATTACGAGCTTACTTGAGCTTCTAGAAATAGCTTATAACTCTCACAATTTGTTTTTAGCTTATTTCCATAAGTTTCTTAGTGTGACTTTTTAAAATTTGCTCTTTTAAACTTATTCTAATAGGTTTGATTAAATTTGTGGCATAAGCCCTATATGATATGTCACATAAATAAGTTGTTTATCCAAATGAACCCTTAAGCAAATATCTGACGTTCTCAGCTGATAAGTTTTACTTCACGAAGTGGTGGTAGCTTGACATGCTGCCATGCCCTGTGCACAAATTATGTGAAGACCAGTTCATCCGTTACCTTTTGCTTCTTTGTTTTCTTCGTGCTTTGTATATGCTTATAAAACTCAGTTGTTTTGATTGATTAAACTTCAAAATTTATGTCATTCAGTCATGAAAAGGTTAAGATTTGAGAACTCTTAGTTTTAGATTCACATGAATTAATCCAATCTAAGGTCATAAATTTGAATCTCCTGTACATACTGTGTTTAGTCTATGAACCTGGAAATCTCACTTAGAAACAAATTTCTCTGTCAGCTAACCTAATCAGAGTAAGACCTGGAATTGTCCTTCGACCTCTACATTTGATTCCAATTTCTGGCATAGATCCAGTAGGAACCAACTTTATTTTCAAATTAAAATTATAGCATATTAGTATCACATCTCTCTAAGCTATGATCAGCAAAATACAATGAGTCATATATTCATATGTGCAAAGTAATTCAACATATGTAAGAAATACAGTGAACTAGCGATTTTTTTTTTTTTTTTTTCCTTGGTTGGCTCCTGTCCTTGTAATTTCTGAATGTTTTTTGAGTTCTGCTAGATGTACGTCAGTTTCTTTGTGAAGTAGTGTGCAATGTCTTCAACTCTGTTCCCAGGTGTGTCCAAGCAGGTTTCCGATGTTCATTTGGTCATGTTATAATTTTCACTAAGTTGAGCTGTAATAGATAAATATGTCAATCTTTTTCTGAATTTCGGTCCTTGATTTGCAATACTTTTAATGTGTTTTATTATTAAAGTCACTATATCTAATCAAATAACCGTATTTTCTATATACAGAGTATTGAACGGGCTCTTCCTTGCCCCTTTGTCTTACTTACTATGGTATTCTTTTGTGGTGACCAAATGTCAATATCAAATTTAAATCCCCAATGAAATTCAATTGTTTTGTCATTTACCATTTCCAACTGCAAAATATATTGACCTTCTCCTCATCTCCTACTGAGAATCTGTCAGAACTGAAATTGTCATTCCATCGATGTCCAACTCTCCTTACAATAAAAGCTCTAGTCAGGGAGAGGGGGGTTTAGGTTCACAGTGTTTTGATGCCATGTTGAATACAAGATATGCACAATGGAAAAGATTGAAGAGAATTTCAATCTGTCCTTCGTGATTTAGCCTCATCTCTATAATTTATTAGTATATTATTTATTATCTTTACAACTCAAAACGTGAAATGATGCTAGAGGGCTTTACTAGCAAATAAGGGCCTTCTCTGGAGTCTACATAAATGCTGTGCATATCTTGTCTATATTTATGTTTTGGTGAATGATATTGCAACTACAATATCCATACAGATTGCTCGCATGCTAACTGTGAAGCGGGAAAGAGAGATTGAGGAGGGTATCGGTAAGAGGTTGTCCAGAAAGCTTGATAAAAAATGGCAGAAAAGCATTGTTGTAAGACCACCTCCATCTTTGAAGAAGCTTCGGGAGGAAGAAGCAGCAGCAGAAGCTGCAGAAGCTGAAAAAGCTCCATGAGCTAACACTTAGTATGCAATTTACAGAGTTCAGTGGTTAAAATTATCCGTTCATTCTTAACTTTCTTGTTTAGATGAATGTTGTTTATCTCGTGTATAATATCTTCTTGCTAGCAATTTTTGTTTGTTCCTGGGAGAAGCTTTGTGCCTTTTTTTTGTGACCAAAGATTTATGATTCACATCCATCAAATTAAACTAAACATTTTCTTAACTTGGAACTTCAATTTCATCAGAACTCGCTTTTAGTTTATTGGATGAATGATCATCATTACTTGGAGTTTCAAAGTGTCAAAAATTGTGAACCAGATTGGTGATGCATATTTGTTTCTGAAAGGGAAAGTGATTATTCTCATTCACGTTCCTAAGCCAAGGTAGGGTTTGAATGGCAAGACATTCAATATCCCCGCCGATTTTCAATATACAAAGTATCAATGAGAATATAAGTTCATCCTTTTACAATTTTGGTCAACTATTTTATTCCGTCTTATGCTAACTAGTTAAGCATTCATTTATATGATATTTATAAAACAACTCATCCAATAATTTAAATGATAATATTATATTTAATTTTTTTCATCATATCATTTACTATATCTCATATTCTTTCTCTTTTTTAATTCTAAAACTTGTTGTATAAATACAATTTTATTTTAAACATAATATATCGCATTATGTGAGTGAAAATGAACTCATTCCGTTTTCTACCACCGGAGAGAGCGATGAATTTTTTTATATAATCAACGATTAAAAATCATTTTTGTATTATTTTAAAGATAACAATTGAAAATATTTGAAAAATTAGTGTCACGATGACTGTTTGTGTTTAGATAATATCAGATCGTAGTATAGAGTTTTTTACACATTCGAGACTAGATCAATTTTTTTTTCTAAATTGACAGTGTTTCACATATTTAATTATTAAATTGGTCATTTATCTACATTTTAATATTTTATTTAAATCAATATAATTCTATTTGTTCCATCGGATATTTTATTTATTAAATAAACCAATATTATTTATCTGGTTAGTAAAAATTAAGTGTGAATCTAATTACAGAGACAAAAGGCCGAAGCAAAAATCCCAATATACAAAAGTAGAGAACCGAGACTCTAATGAATCTAGTATAGCGCACAAATTGATCCAAACAACAACGGAGCATTGCAAGCAGGAAAATTGCGACAACTTCTCTTCCAAAACAAGATTGTTAATGGTGTAATGACATGAATCTCTTTTGAATTGATTTTGAGGAATCCCAAAGACGCCAACAATCACCATCGGATCCAAATCCAATGGAAGACGAAACGGAGAAACAGAAACAGAAGAAGCACTCAGCGATGCTGGAACGCCTTTCAAAACGCGGCCAAACCCGTTCAACAAATCCCGAATCCTCCGCAGAATCGACCTCCTCCTTCTTCTCACGCTTTTCAACACTGAAAACCTCAATAGAGTCTCAACTTGACCAATCGCAATCCTTTTCCTCCGACCCAACCAACCTCAAACTCCATTTCCAAAGCATCTCCCAATCAATCTCCGATTTGGAAAAACTCGTGGCAGAAAACTCCTACCTTCTACCCTCTTACGATGTTCGAACCTCACTCAAAACCGTCTCCGACCTAAAAAACTCCCTCGAAAACCTCACAAACCAGCTCATCCCTAAAAGGAAATTCTCCTTCAAGAATAAACCCACCAAGAAGGACGATAAGGACACTGCTATTCCGCAACCCAAACAACCCTCTCAACTCTCCACTCTCGACACGCGCCTCGCCGTGCGTGAGTCCCCGGGCTTTAGAAACAAAGTTGGTGAGGTTTTGGTCGCCAGGTTCAGGGGCTCCGAGGTTGGGGAATTCGCCGTTTCGGATCTCGATTCCTGTGAAGTAAGGATATTAGGTTCCGTCAGGGCGCTTTTCGTACACAGGTTGAAGAATTCAAGGGTTTCCGTCGGGCCTGTAACCGGTTCGGTTCTTATTGAGGAAGCTGAGGGTTGCGTCTTCGTGTTGGCATCGCATCAGATTCGGATTCACGCTGCGAGAAAATGCGATTTCTACCTTAGGGTTAGGAGTAGGCCTATAATTGAGGACTGTAACGGCGTCAGGTTTGCGCCGTACTGTTTGAGTTACCGGGGGATTGAGGAGGATCTTCGCGGCGCTGGTCTCGACACTGAGACCGGGAATTGGGAAAATGTGGATGATTTCCGGTGGCTGCGAGCGGTGCAGTCTCCGAACTGGTTAGTTTTGCCGGAGAGTGAGAGGGTTGGTATTGTTGATTTATCGAATTTGAAAAATGGAGATGAGGAAATTTGATTTGTGTCTCAGCATTGTTTCTTTATTTTGTGGTTGAGTCTAGGTATGTATTTTTATCGGAATTTGTTGTTGGGATTAGCGTGACTGTGGCTTCAATAGTGCAATCAATCGAAATGGTTTTGGACATGTTTATTTTCAGTGGAGGAATGGGTTTTCTCTGGTTTCTTCCCTGTACCATTTTCTTTCTCTTTTCTATTATTATTGTTTGGGTTCTCGAGTGTTAGTTTGGTCTTGGTTTGGGAATTGCTGGTTGTTAATTATTTGTTTGCTTCTGAAATTCGTTGGTAAAAAATGGTTGGAATGTTTCTTGTAGGGAGCTACTACCTATACATATCACTGCAGTAATGTGTTTATTATAATTATGGTTTGCTACATTGTATATGGATGTGTTATACTGTTATATTTTAGGCTTGACAATTCTCATTGCTCAGTAGAGTTCCAGCAGGATTTGTTACAGTACTAGACTAGTATTTAACAGATGATAATGATGACTGTAATGACTTTTGTTTGGGTTCAGTTCAAGTAAAGAAAAAGGACAAAGGATTTAACCATGGGTAATGTAGTGACTGGGTGAGAACACCATATTCTGTTCTCTTTGTTCATCTCTTTTTTTCTTCTCGCCTTTTCCATTGGGGTGTCTGGGGCTGTGAACCTGTGTGAAGGTGGGGTATTTGAAAAAAATCCAGTAACCCAAACCTGAATAAAAACCAAACCACATTTAAAAAGTTGAGTTGCATAAACCGGCATTTGAACTAAATTGGTCTGCTTTTAAAGTAAATAGTGTGTTGATTCATAAACTGCAAGTACATGTTCTTATTGTGCTTCAAATGCTTTGTCATTTACTCGATTCCCCCACTCCTTCCTTTTCCTGGCCGTTGTACATCTTCCGCTTTAACTTTCTTCTAATTTGATCTGAATTTTGTTGGGTGGATGATCAATTGTTTTCATTTCTCATTTATCCTATAGAGCCACCCAGTTGGGTTGCTTGGCAAAATTAGTTCCCACAAAGGATAAAAGTCATGAATACTAAAGTATATTTCAGATTTGTGCTGCACCAAATAATCCCAAGTGAATCGGATGCAATCACACGTAATTGTGAGAAAGAAAAAAAAGAACCTTTTGCTCTCACATGTGAGATGTTGATATGGCCCCAAGTATCACGATGTACAAGATCCAAATGGCTAAGTAAAGAAATTTCTATCAGAAGCGAAAGACAATTTTTTTGAATTTTGTTGAAGAGCACTTTGAATTGATAGAGAAAGGAACCTCAACAAAGTTTTTATTGCATTTTGGGAGTTTTGTGTGATACACACTGAAAATGTCATAGGCTCAAAGAATCATCGTGTACAACATGTTTAAAATGTGATTAATAATAGTAGATCAATTGCAGAACATATAAAGCTACAGACTTTTGATAGAGGCAGCGTGCCACCACATTTCAAGAAGTGTAATTCGACCTTACCAGCCCTGCCACAAAAGTTGGTTGTGCATGATTATAGTAAATAAAACCTGAAATTAACAACACATTTGCGAGTGAGATGATTCATTATTTGAACAATGGCAATAGTTAAAACCTAAATGAAAAATGATCAAACAAAGTAACAATAGCTTTTTTGAGGATAGGGAATTTAGCACAATATTTTTAATATAGACAATAGTATAATTTATATATTTCTATACATATAATTATCAGCAAAGCTGTTTTAGCACAGTGGTAGAGCGCGTGGTTTTAATCACGTGGTCGTGGGTTCCATGTTTACATATTAATATTAAATTATTTTATGATTATATTTTCAATATTAATCGTTTTACTAGTTAATATTTTAAATTTTATCTTTAATATTTTAATAACCACTTAACCTGTGTGATTGTAAAAAATATAAATAACATTATATATACATAAATTAAACTCTAATAATATCAGATAATTAATAAAATAAAAAATCAATGTTCACTATTCAATCTTTCAAAGTTAAAAATGAAAATAATAATTTTTTTTTCTGTTACTTCGTGTTTATTATAAAGAATTATTCAAATACGTTAAGTAAAAATATTTGTATCTTCACATCACAAATTTATGAAAACAAACGAAGATATTTCAATCTAACAAATTGAGAAAATCCTCATGACAGAAGCCGATACGAAAAAAGTATCAAACAATTTCGTTCATCAAATGCTAGTTGAACCTGCAATAATAAAGCTATCATTACTTGTCATGCTTATATTCAAATGGAGAATGATTAATTGGCAAAACACACCCTCAATTACATATATCCATGCAATTTGATTTACACTAGATTCTAGACAATATTGCCCACAATCCTACAAAATTAAGCTTACAATATGATATTAACCCATTCAAGCACGTATTTGAAGTGTTTTTTTTTTTATTATTTTAATTTTAACTTTCTATTCTCGTAACTAAACATTTATGCATATGTTCCATATGCTTCACTTCATTCTTTACAAGTTTTTGGCACGTTAAAATCTAATTTGCAATGTTTCCATTAAAATGAGAAAATGTAGCTATTAAATGAGAAGAAAAAGTACATCCAATGGAAGAGAACGTCTTTACGCTCAACATCATATTTAATAAACCACTCAGTACAAGCATGTTGAAAATAATAAAACTGGTCAATTCAGAATTTTTAATCAAACTCCTGAAGTGATTTTTTTTAATAATTTATTAAATACATTTTTATAAAATCAAAACTAACGTCAAAAGATTCATATTACCAAAAGGTTAAGAATTTTTACATGAACAAAGTGTACAACAAAAACGAATATAGAATCAAAAGTACACTGTATATTCTATTACACTATAAACGGGGCAAATAAATATATATTCCATAATCCGCAATCAAATGCTATAGTCAGTATGATAAGCACAAAAATGCAAAACAAGACACAAGGTCTGGTTCAGTTTTAAATTAACATAATACACAAGACATTATAGTCATGTTGCACTCTGTTCTGTTCTGTTCTAGTCTTTTCTATTTTACTCCGTCAAAGGTTTACCCCCAGGATCATGTTAGGTTTATAAAGGTCATACAAATTAAAAAATGACTCCTCAGTATTCCTAAAACACCTTACTCACAAGGATGTACTCAACGGTGCTTCTTACCGGCACCCTTTTTACCATGTTTCTTCTTACCACCTTTCCCTTTCCATGTATTGGACATATTGGTTCCAGTTTGATGGTCTCTTGGTGGTGCCGAATTTAACAAATGCTTCACATTGAGTATGCCATTTCTAAAATGACCTTCACTTGACTTCAGACCCTTGTTTTCTGGTTTGTGCTTCCCAGCTGATCTTTTACTGCTACCACCGAGCTTTCCTCCCAATTGTCCAAGAATCAAACGCTGAAACCAGAAAGTGGTACATGACACACATAAATGGTCAGTAAGAGACAAAAAAAAATCATAATAGGGGATAAAAGTGGGGAATGATATAAATTAATTACCTCTTGGAGCATTTTCTGCTCCCTCTCCTTCTGTTTCTTCATCATTGGCCGTGCCACACTTAAAGGTAATCTCTGATTCTTGGGGGCCTATATATGAGGAAATAATAAACTCTTAAGAATTTTGCTACCCGAGCATCCTTGTAATGGTATTTTCATTTGCACATGATCAAAATAGAATATAAAAAATATTCCTCACCTTCCCACCAAGTGAAACAATATTCCTATTTTCAATCTTCTTGCGTTCTTTCCATGTCATATGCGAGTAACCTGGAAAATACGCTAGTTAATAGCCATTATGAGAAGCAACTGCACTATAATATTTGCTGGACAGAGTGGAAAGGTAGAAAAACCATGTGAACTGGTTAAAGAAGATATAGTCACAGACAACTGAAGAATTAACATAAGTTACATGCCACGCTGGCATAAACGTTTCAAGAGAAATTAAACACACTGTCACCTGTCCTAAATTAAAAGTTTAGGTTGAGACAGTTTCAACTAAGAATAAGTTATGTTTTGCAAATAAAGAGGAGACTTCATGCGAAAAAAAAAACCCTCAAAATATGTATACTCATGAAAGTTAATCTTTGGCTAACAGAATTACGATTTTTTAGAAATTATAATCCTCCATGAAATTCCAGATGCATAAAATATTAATTGAAACAATAAGCTTCTAAACTATGAAATCAGTGTCAGCATCCCTAGGATATTTATCTCGCCACATAGATGAACAAGTTGCTTTAAAATCAAAGAGTTCAACAAGAAAGTATGCTTTGCATAGCTATTCAAAAATCAAGTTGCATCAGAGCAGACCAAATAAATCCAATCTAACTATATAAAATAGTAATAAGCAAGAACATAATCATTTACTTTTCATAATGCATTTTTTTTTCAATTGGGTTGAATAGTCACAACGCATCAACATCAGAAAGCAGATTCAAATAGAAGATAAAGCCAAGATTCAAGTAAAAGGAAAAGTCAAAATGAAGGAAAATGGACATTACTAAAATTTTCAACATCTTTCATTATCTTCCGTATGTCCATCTCTTCTTCCAGCTTATCCGTATGTCCTCTTGGAGAACCATGCCCACCAGCTTTTTTCCTATTTTGGTTCATTTTTCCCATCACTGCATTCAAAATGAAGGAGAAAAGACATTTAGGGGAAAATTTTTTTGTCACGGACAACATATTATGAAAGCACAAACACAAATAATAGATGGTTCAAATGGATCTTGGATTTCTATGTACATGCACTGTGGCAAAATCATAATCATTCATTCTGAATAGGGTCTTTGATGCAGCAGAGATACAACTCAAACATAGAACAAAAGTTTTAGGGAAATTTATGACATCTGAGTTTTGGGTATAATAATAATGTACTAAATTCCCACCAGTTTTTAAGACTCACATGTTCAAGCACTGAATATATAAAATTACAATAAACTCTTGTGCAATGTAAAATCTCCCAAGTTGCATCACTAGCGTACAGTTTTAATTTACAATGTCGGGTTATTCATTAGTTCATATATCATTTTTTGCAGCAATTTTGTGTTTGCTTGAGACAAACAAATGAAAGATTTGAGAAAAACACCTTAAGAATCTGATACTGTTTAGGATTGATTAATCCCTATCAACACAAAGTTCTTAGGATCGCAAAATCCTCAAAACAATACAAATTAGTAATTAAACTATAATTTATGAGAGTTAAAGGATTCCTGTAGACCCCAATTGATTTATATAAATAGGACCCTAAGAGGTCTTAAAAACTATAAAAATCAACAATTGAATTTAATTTATAACATTAAAATTAATCCACTATAACATAACGTACCAATATAGTTTTGCAGGCTGACGCATTGTCTCTCTACCCATAATTTTAATAAGTATTCATATATGAAACATTCTTCACTCCGGTTACCTCAAATGATGATATACAACACTTTGAGATGCAAATCTATAATCTAAAAGTTGTTCTCCAAACAATTCACGTCTTGTCTTGTCACTTTCATGTTTCTCCCAAGCGTCGAAAACTATACAACTATTTATAAACTAATGAGTGGAGTTGGGTCTTTAAAGATGAAGTACTATTATTTTTTATCTTTATCTTTCTAATTTTATTTTTCTAACATTATCTTTATCTTTATCTAACAACCCTTATGTTATTTTTTATGTTTGCAGTAACATAAAACATGTAGACTTAGTATAAAGTTACGTGTGAGAGTTACTTTATAGTAAATGTAGGAGATTTGACAGGACAATGGTGGATAAAATTTAAAGAGAACTGAAGTATCTGTGCTTTTGTTTCAAATTTCAATTAAATGTTCTAGAAGCTTTAGGTTTAGTGAAGACCAAAATCAGATTATTCCCCCATATCCTCATTTATTTTGTAATCAAAGTGGTTAGGATCTACCATTGCTAATTTGCTACCTCTGCCTATATAACTCATGTAATTGTAATCAATCAATATCACCACAGATTTCACCCAAATTGAAAATAAAAAGATTCAGTTATATATTCTTTTAGGACCACTCCTAGCTACTGATTATATACTTCATAAAAAGGCAATATGAGAGTTCAAAACAATCAGAAAAACGCAAACCTAGTATATTATTGGGGGTTCTATACACAGGGTTTAAAACTGTTGCTAATGATTGAAATGCACAAAATTGATTATGTTGCTTTTTTAAATTTTATTTTATTTTATTTTTCTCTTTCCAATTTCTTTTTTATTTCTTCTCTATTTCTCTTAAATCAAACAATCAATATTTTCCCTCTTTTTCTCTTATTTTCCCACCAAACTACTATCACTCCTTCTACTTCCTTCGTCTTTCTCAAAACCAACCTAAATAACAACACCTCCTGCAACTGTAGAAAAAGATCAGAATAAAAGAGTATCACCATCACAAAAAGATCAGAAACTAAGAACTTGGGTTACTATCATTACCAATGTGTCAGTTCTGATACCCTGAGTGTTATTGTGAAGGACTAGTCATATCCGGGGAGACTTATGAACCACACACATAAGTCCTTAAGGGCATATGACTTTTCATTGCTGACTGACTGCATGTATGAAATTTTGAGTAATTGTTTAATTTTTTGTCATTTATATGTTTAAAATGTTTGATCTGCATAAAAGGTATTGGAATAACAGTCATCCCCTCCCGTGTCTGCTCGCCACTATCTAGGATTAACAACTATGGAAACCAACTCAAGGCCTACCACTTGTAATGATCTCAAACATGGAAGTCAATTCCTAAATCAAATGAAACCTATTTCTTAACTACTCCAAACACAATGAAAATTCATTCACAACAATTACAATCAAATGAAAACTGATACCCAAATAAAGTTAAACACTGAATGTAACCTCTAAACATTTATGGCGAGTTCAAAGAAGGAACATGATAAAAAAAATTACCAGACCAGCATAACAAAAACAAAAACAAAAACAAAAACAAAACACTAAGGAGTTAGCAAGTGAACCTCCGAATGCATAACAAGCAAATTCAAGTTTCATTACCAGCGACAAAGAAATAAAGTTAATTCCAAACACAACAACAGACATCATTATAAATAGTGCTAAAAAACAGAAACGATAACATTCAAATCGTGTCTATGCAAAAAAGTGATTGAAAAAAATAAAAAAGCAAACGGCACAAACAATTAGCAATGAAAAGCGGTTAGTTTATTGGTGTGAGAAACGTAAAAACTGGAAAAGAAAGAAAAACCTGGCTTTGCTTCGCTTTCTCTGAGTGCGAAGAGAGAGAGAGAGAGAAGGGGGGTAAGTGAGCGCAGTGAAACACACAACACTGAGTTGAAGGATTAGATTATTTCGTTGCGTTCACTTCGGCAATTGCGTTCACACCCTAGTATTGCTTTCTCTCTAGGGTTGTTCCTCGCCGTTTGATTTATTGTGGTTATTAAAATGCATATGCCACTCTCGCCCCTGACACATTTTCTTCGTTCATATATTTAACCTTCGGAAATTTATTAATTCGTTTTAACTTTTCAACTACTTTTATCAGTTTTTAAGATTTTTTTTAATTTATAAAGTTAATCCTAAACTAATAATTATAAGCTTGATTTTATGTTAAAAGTTTGTTTAGAATTAAAAATTATATAACATTTTGAAACTAATTTTTGGCTAAAATTAATTTTATTCAAAACAATTTGTCTAAATCTCACCCACATAGTTTATTTCTCTTAAATAATAATATTTAAGCTTAATGGATACTTTTAATTTAAATCGCCATTTACGGTTTAAATTGTAATACAGTATATTAAATTAGGACATATACAAATATTATAAATGCTACACGTGAATTATTTATAGATTCAACATTTGTATAAGTATTTAAATAAAAGTTGTTCAATGACCGACCTTAGCTCAGTTGGTAGAGCGGAGGACTGTAGTTGGTAATCCAGGCTGTTATCCTTAGGTCGCTGGTTCGAATCCGGCAGGTCGGATTTTTTTTCATAATTTTTAGTACTGGCTTCCATAATTTTTTTTATCAACATTACTTGTAATTTTCTTAACAAAAAATATTACAGAAAATTAAAAGCACAGAATAATTTTCAGTGTAATAAAAAGGTAAAATGATGTGAGAAAGAAAAAATGGTATTTGCTAGGTTCGAATGATGTATCATAATTTTTAGTAATGGCTTCCATAATTTTTTTTATCAACATTACTTGTAATTTTCTTAACAAAAAATATTACAGAAAATTAAAAGCACAGAATAATTTTCAGTGTAATAAAAAGGTAAAATGATGTGAGAAAGAAAAAATGGTATTTGCTAGGTTCGAATGATGTATCATAATTTTTAGTAATGGCTTCCATAATTTTTTTTATCAACATTACTTGTAATTTTTCTTAACAAAAAATATTACAGAAAATTAAAAGCACAGAATAATTTTCAGTGTAATAAAAAGGTAAAATGATGTGAGAAAGAAAAAATGGTATTTGCTAGGTTCGAATGATGTATGATGTTTTTTTTGTGTGTAATTTTTATAAGTGTCTGTTTTTTGTCCTCCAATCAGAACATTGAGTCAAAACAATCTTAGTGGGACAATTCCTGAATCACTTGCCACTCTTCCAATCTTGATCAATGTGTATGCGAAATAATGTTTCTATAACTTTGCTGCCTTTTTTGAACTATATTTCATTACTTTAGTATCTAATTGATTAACTTCTCTTTTTGCAGTATGCTAGATTCAAATAATCTGAATGGCAAAATCCCAGAGCGGTTATTTGAGGTTTCTAAATACAAGTATGGATGATAAAACCACAAAATTAGTATGTGATGTTAGGTAAACTGACAATTAAATATGATCTTCAATTTAACGATCAAATATAAAGTAATATCATACTCATAAACAAGTTGTAAACTAAATACGAAAGCGTACCTGAATTAACCATAATGATGATGTCCCTTTTAGAGCATTATTGATCTTATGGTCTTCCACCTAAAAAACACCTTTATTTTCTTCTTGACTTTCTCTCTTGATGGGGATAGAAAGAAAAGAACGGGACTGTAACTACGTTCTGTCTACGTGCTCCCAGAAGGGGACCATGACCCCTTAAAATAACCAAACTTAGGTTAATTACTTAAGTTTTAATATTTCCAATTTGACCCCTCATCAAATTAGAAATTGCTCTATGGTCTCTACACAATTTTATTTTCATGACATATGCCTTTAGCCAAACCTTTTTAATTTAGTCATATCACTTTATTATTTGGCTTAATAAATAATGACCCTAACACATTTAAATATGTATCATATATATACATTACCCAAATTTTGCCAACAATCTCCCACTGGTCACAAATATATATGTCCTTACAACCTTACAAATGTGTTAGACTTTATGAGCTCAAAATTGCCATTATATTCCTTTAGCATATTCCAAAAGTCATGTCCATTAATCATATCAGGATTTAGAACCAAAGCAGCTTTTCATTGCATCATCGCAACTAAATCCAACAATGATTACCCATCCTAACATAACCAAATGACATGGATTCATCATGAAATGTGTAGCATGAAAAATTACGTGAAGGTGATCTGTACACGTCTATTTTCAACTGGTCTAAACTTTAACTTATCGAGATCGATA